CCAGAAAATTCCCCTCTACCCATATATATTTCATGTTTAGGAAAGGATTTTTTGTTACCTTTACAAAAGAAAATCAGACACCTCCTCCCTTAATTCCTGGGATAACATATTGGGTACGGGTCTGGGGACAGTAAATTTAACGGTTGAACAAAAAATTTGCAACGCACAAACCAACTACCAAAGCTTTGATACTACATAAGGGCAACAGCATATGTAGAACTTCAGGCATGGAACAAAAAACGTTCTATATATTTGCAATATTAAAAATTGACAGAGGAGTGACCAGAAATCACTAAACAGTATTTTTTAATTAGCAAAAAGTAATACATTCCATGGCAATGCCAGTAATTTGGACCCACAGGACATATGGCAGGCACGGGAAGCAGAGACGAGGATACTGGAAATTTACCCCCACCCCACCCCACCAGAGAGAGGGAGAGGGAGAGGGGGGGAGAGAAAAAGAGACAGAGAGAGAGAGGGAGGGAGAAGAGAGAGAGAGCAATGGAGACATAATTATCTGGAAGAGGTAAATACAAACACAAGGAAACTACGTTAACGTGTCCCTCCCGTCAGAAATAAGAAAAATGGAGAAGTCTTCATGAAATATGCCGGCGTGAAGCGTCGTAGTTCATGTCCTAATAAATCTTCAAAAATGATTTTCATTTCTTAGATAATAATGTTCACCAGTTTATCTAAACGAAAATTATCCTCTTCTTTTTTTTTTGAACATAGGCGTCGGAAACAGGGGGGGGGGGGGCTAGGGGGGCTTAGCCCCCAAATATATACTTAGTATAGACATTGAACATATCTTCATAGGTTTAGCCCCCCCCCCCACTTTCCACAGATACGTCTTAGTATAGGTTAAAAATGGGGAAAGTGATGGTGTTAGGAAAAAAAATTTTGGTACTGAAGTTCGGACCTACCACTTATCCCCCCCTCCACGAAATAGGATTTTCGTGTTTGGGAAATGGACATTTCCTTTTTTTTCTTTTTTTTTTTTTTGCTTGTCAGGTTTTTACGAAAGCCCATTGAGCTCATTTTGGTACGTTAAAAAAATAGATTTTTCGCATTATAACGCGAAACTTTCGCGAATAAACGCGTAACATTCGCGTAACGTTCGCGAATAAACGCGTAACTTTCGCGTTATAACGCAAAACTTTCGCGATATAACGCGTAACTTTCCCGAAATAACACGAAACTTTCGCGAATAAACGCGTAACTTTCGCGATATAACGCGTAACTTTCGCGAATAAACACGAAACTTTCGCGTTATAACGCGAAACTTTCGCGATATAACGCGTAACTTTCGCGAATTAACGCGTAACTTTCGCGAAATAACTCGAAACTTTCGCGAATAAACGCGTAACTTTCGCGGTATAACGCGAAACATTCGCGTTATTTCGCGAAATAATATGCATATATAATAATGTTACTCAGGAACCTTGATCTTGACTGACAGATAAGAACATGAAAACAGACGGGAACTCCCAGCAACTCTCAGTGGCCTAATTTCATTCAAAATGATGCAAATAATATATTTCTAGAGTATAAAGAAATTGTAAACCTTTATGATGTTCAAAAGTCTACCTCTCTGAAACCATCCTTATTAATCTACGTTATAAAAATCATATTTATCAAGGCATAAACACCAAAATTTGGGGAAATGTAGTTAATAGAACAGTATTAAGAATTTTCATTTCCATTAAAAAAATACAGGGTAGTAATTACTTTTCCGTAGGATTTTAAATATAATATACCAAATTTTAATTGCAACTCTTGGGTATTGCGCCGCCTACCTACACCAGACAATGAAATGTGTCTTCTAAATTGGAATAATTTGTGTAGTTACTCCATATTTGTCCATAGATTTATTATATAGTGTTGGTTTAATCTATATACAAAGTTTCATTAATGTATGACTTGGGGTTCCGACAAAACAACGCTTGTCTACGGAATTTTGGGACAACCCTCGTACACAAATATTTTTCACTTCAAATCCTATTTTTTGTAAAATTTTTATTAGAATTTTAAAAACTACGCGGTGAAACTTATTCATTTTATTCATTAAAACATAACCCAAGTAGTTATTTTCAAATTATTTGACAAAAGTTTGTTTGTATCATCTGTCCTTACGGTATACACGGCAGAATTTGTACACTTTGAATTAATTGTCAATATTTTTCCGATATCGTATTTCTACAGTGAATCCAACGGAGACAAATGAAAATCTACTATCCAATTTTCACAATTCTGAGATCTTGTTCTTTATAAAATAAAATTATTTAAAATTCTCAGAGAGTGCGTAAAAAAGACGCCGGAAAGGGATGATTTTCCCCGAAATTCATAATCTTAATTATAATAATAGGGATTGAAGTTTAACTTTTGGAAAACTCGCATAATCTTTGAATTGTTTGAACAGTGCTGAGAAAGACCATCTATGACGGTAAAGATGGATTTAATAGGAAGAAAACTTAAAATTGTAGCTTGTGATACTGTATAGGGGATTAATTTCACGGGTTGTAATTTTCACGTTTTTCTCTCATCTGACACGATCGCGGTTTCTTGAATTCGCGGAATAGCTACATGTAAATGACATTCTTCAGCGTTGTTTTTATTTCAAGAACAACAGGATAGGTTTATATAAAATTGATATATTTAATTGATAATTAATTTAAACAAGTGCAGTTATTAAAAGTCCTACACTCTAAACGTCAAATGACTTTCCTATATGCTACATTGTATTAGTGCATGTGCACCCAAGATCTTCAATACAACGCGGCGAAAAACCACTGGACGGTAATAAATGTGTTTATTAAGTTCGCCGAAATAATATCTTCCACATCTTCAGTAAGTTCGATATTTATTTGAATGATTTTTTAAAACCAAAATGTTGATAAAAACTAATATGCATGATAATGCAGGTAACAAATACAAGTGGTAAAATTACGCACGGGTAATCAAAACCCATAGCTAGCCCACGTGTTTTGATTGATGAAACATGTAGCGCTGGCTATTAAAACAGCTTTTGAACAAACAAGAGTTATTATCTGCCGATTTGATTTAAAGTAAAGCGTGATATTTAAAATAATTGAATGACGAGTACTACTCGTAATTACTGAAACGACAATGTACTGCATGTACATGTATATCAACCTGTCGTAGTCAACCTATCGTGGTCTATTCTCAAATTTCCAAATAAAACATGGAGATTATTGAAAATTTATTCACTGTTTCTTGAATTCACGGATTTATTTACACCGTGAATATAGCGAATATTAATACCGCGAGTTATTTTCCCCCTATACAGTAGTCCAAGTTTAAAATAGCCTTTTCCTTTTCATTAATAAATAAACTTGATCACAAAATAAAAAGAAAGTCAATACTTAAGCAAATGTCTTGGTTAAACAGAAAAAGTTCCGCGTTATATTGCGAATGTTTCGCGTTATATCGCGAAAGTTTCGCGTTATAACGCGAACGTTACGCGTTTATTCGCGAAAGTTACGCGTTATATCGCGAAAGTTACGCGTTTATTCGCGAAAGTTTCGCGTTATATCGCGAAAGTTTTGCTCTATATCGCGAAAGTTACGCGTTTATTCGCGAAAGTTTCGCGATATAACGCGAAAAATTTATTTTTTTAACCTACCAAAATGAGCTCAATGGGCTTTCGTGGTACGTGTTTTTTTTTTAAGATACAATTTTTTTTTACACTTAGCCCCCCCCCCTTTCAATTTGCTTCCGACGCCAATGTTGAAGATGTGTGTATTTTTGCAAACTTCAAGAAAATTGAGACTGATCTAATTTAGCATAAAGTTATGCGAATCCATTTTAAAGTCAGAATTGTAAAAAAAAAATACGATGGTGAGAGGTAGAAGTTTTATTCATTTTTAATTAAGTATATAGTCTTTATTGAATTATTTTGCACCCCCCCCCCCATCTATTAGGGTCTCGCCCGCTACGTACACATGTACAAAAAATCTACTCAACCAACTGGAAACCGAATCCTCTCATAATTTATACCCTAGCTGCAGATCTGAAGCTCGCTGGTCTGAAAAGAATGGGAATATGACCAGGCCTGGAGACCAGAAATTGAGAACAGACTTATAAAGTCAAAATTTTGATTTTGAATAGTTTGTCATCTATAATCTATATGTTATCAAGAAATTGTAGGTTTGGCTAATATTCTAATTTAAACACATGGTAAAAATTTTGTTTTTGAGATAAAAAAAATATTTCAAGAGTTATATTGATTTGAAATTTTGACTTTAAAAGTTTGTTCTCAGTTTATGGTCTTGGGCCCAGATCTCCGGTCTATATTTTTTCAGAGAGCTACAGTTCTGCAGCTGTTTACACCCAAATGATGAGAAATTTGGGCTTTGACGCAAGCAACAAAATCTCTATCATGGGTTAATCAAAGCAGGCATGGGGTATCGGTGGGGGGGGGGGGGGGTGTGTCACCATTTTTTCCCTTACACTTTATGTTACAGTAGGGTCAAATAAGGACAATGTAGTATGTCTCAAAGAATTAACCAAAGATTGTTTAGGCCCTGTATTATAAAAGCGTTCTTAATATGGAAATCTACATAGTGGACCGAAAAACCTTTGGCTTCCAAAGATCTTGAAACATATTCTTACAAATAATATGCTTCCTAATTATATGGATTTTTTTTCTGAGAAAAGGGTTTCGTTGTTTTAATTAAAAGTTTTAAAATATAAAATGATATAATCGAATTTCAAAATAACCATGCATATGCATATTTTGAATTTAAAATTAAATCAGATTTGGATAATTTTTCAGTTTTCAGATTAAGAACGGTAATTAAAAAAAAAAAGAGTTTACAAACTTTTCAAAGTTTGAATACTCATTCCATTATTGAAGACACTTAATTTTTTCACATCGAGACGGAGTCTTGACAAAACGATAATTGGCAGAAACTTTCCTTCCATTATTTTCTTTCTCTCTTCTCTTTTTCGCTTTCACACCTTTTTGGTCAGGTCTTGCGTAGAGTTACCTGCCCCTTCAATGTTGTTTGATCTGGCAATATGGCGGACCTGTGAAAGAGTTTGGTAAACCAGAAATGATGGTTTTCAGGTTAATATCAAAGCAATCTAAAATTCAACATTTGTATTATTATGTTTTAAGTTTTAGCAAGACAACTGCACATTATTTCAGGTCAAAGACAGCAAAAACAGACTAGGATTAGCGCATTCTTTGTTGTAACGGCAATCGACTGATAAATCAATGAATGAAAAGTATCAATGTTAAAATGACGTTTTATGCACATCCCTGTGATTAGGAACATCATTATTTGATGGATATTTTATTCACTAATATAAATTTCTCTAATGTATTTTAAGACACTGTAAGAAACATTGCTGTTTTCCTTGAGTGTAGTGTTCTTTAAGTTTTTGTGCCCTGCCACCTGATACTGTGATAGAAAGTTCCATAATATTTATCCGTCTTATCAGAATCCTAGCTTATATATTATATGTAACTTATAATGAATCCCCACATGGCATGCCCACACAGTTGTGTGTTGTTCCCCTTGACAGCTAGTATTCAATGCATACATACTATTAGTTAGAATAATCTAACTGTGTCCGATAAGTAAGAATACGTCCCATATACTTGCAATGTAGCAAATCGGAGCGGATCCGCTCCGAAACGATTTTGAAGAATATAAAATAATTTGCACTGGAAATAACTACCAAAATAATCAAAACAAACCTTTTTGAGATTGCTTATGCCTTTTATCCTAAAAAATAATCCACAGAAATACGAAAATCCAATTAATTTTCTCAACGTTTTTCTCTCGCTTCAAATTTACCTGCCATGTTTGCATTCGGAACTCTCTAGATTGTTCCTAGTAAGTGCACTAGTACGAGTTATCGCCCGTGTTTCTTTTGCCACATTATGAATACACGGAACGAATTCTATCGTTAAACCGAGTTCGTAGGACAATATCATTTTAACGATAGAACGTTCTATCTAACATACTATATTCATATATGTCTAATTTATGAGTTTGTGTCTTGTTGGTGTTGGGTCCTGTTGGAAAAGGAGAAAATTCATTGTCAACATATGTTCACTGTTATAGGTAAAATCCTACGAAGGTTTTCAGAACTGTACGGTCAACTGCAATTCTTGACACAACTGTCTTTGTGACAATATCCAATAGAAAAGATGAGAGAGATTTCAAATCAGCAGATATGTACAGTAGCACATACTTATTGTGAGGGATCTTTTTTGTGCAAGTACCTACTGTGACATGGAACCTCAGTTTATATGCTGTCATCCAAAGGATCTGTTTCCATGTCATGAAGTAGGATTCAAACCTGTGACATAAAGATCAACTCCTTTCTGTACCACTCTAGAACAGACACCCACTGCGCCACAGAGGCGACTAGAGAATTAAAAAAATAAACTGTACCCTCTGGTGAACAATTCAAAATACAAGGCAATTTTTTATTTTTCTTGAATTTTGATGCCCCTTAGGCCTCTGTGATCTCATGAGTGGGATAGAAAATATGTGACAAAGATTTTATGGACAACAGCTATATATCACAAGTATGGAAGGGTTTTCCATCCCTATGGAGAGCAGAGCAAACTAGAAACCCTTGTCTAGCAAAAATGAAAGGATTTTTTTCATTTTTAAAAGTTGTATTTTCTGTACATAGTGTTTTGCAAAAGACGGGGAATTTCCCTGTCTATATAATGACACATTCTGACTTTGCCTCTCAACCTCCACTATTGTACCCAAGACACCCTCTACTTTTGAAACGTCCCCTCCTATATATGAAGTGTAGCCTAGTAAATTGTCATGTACATAAGAATAAGAAATTTTATTGTTTGACATTTTTAAAGTTTCAAGTTATTTAATTATTTTTAGAGTTTGTTAAAACTTTTATATAAATTATTTCGCTATCCTTTGTTTATATTGTTACAAAGCTAAGGTGATATGTATATGTACCCGGTAAATCTTGATACATTCTGAATATTATTGATGGATGTAAACTTATTTTCTTTTTAATAATACAGACCTCATTATTTTAGAGTTAGAATCTGGCTGCCCTGGAAACCATGGCCAGTAAGAAGGTAGATATTAACACAGCAAATCTACAGGACTTTGCTCAGCTCTCTGGAATTGGAGTAAGGAAGGCACAGGCTATTATCAAATATAGAAAGGTATGACTCTTCTTTTTAACTGACTTGTTATGAATTTGAAAATCATTAAATATTGAACTATGATTTAATATTACATGTGTGATATTAGTGTGTTCAATTAATTTATTCACTCAAGATAGCAAGCAATGGTTTTGCCTAGTGTATAAACAAATGCATGTATATTGTTTATGATGTATCTTCAATGTAATCTATATACACATTCTATAAGTGCATAGAACAAAAGGCAAATCCTTGGTCAATAATACAAAAGGTGTTAATGATGTATCTAACCCTCCCCCTTCTGCCCTAGTGTGACACAGGGCCACAATTTTTAAGGTCTCATCCAAAAGATCCCAATTTTCACTTTTAAGTGCCGAGGGCTTGGTAAAGGGAACAGTTGCTTCCAATTTTTTTTTTTATTGACTTGGGTCAGTTGCTGTCATGATTTGAGCACAACACTTTCTGATTTGACTTTTTCAGTTGATGCATCTTGGGTTATTGAAGTATGTCAATCAAGAAGTAGGTCAGGGTGGCCCTCATTTAATATTTCAATGCTATATCTAAATATTTCAGATAAAAGAATACTAAGAATTATCAAACTTTGACAGTTGTTGCATTCCGAGTCCTTGTAGTGTCACCATGACCTATTTTAAGAATTTTGCACTTTAAATAATAAAATTTTTCAGTCAGTTCATTTGAGTCCTTAGTATATGTACTTAAAAGTAGGTCATTTTGAATAGGGTTTTATCTAATTATTTGGAATAAGAAGTTTGCAATCATCTATTCTTGTCAGTAGATGCATCTTGGGTTCTCAAAATATGTTTATCCAAAAAGTAGGTCATGGTTACCTACTTTGAGAAATTTAAAAGTTTTTTTCTTATTAATAACAAAACAAAGAGGCTTAGAGAAGAAGTGATAAAGTTTAACAATTTATTGGTAGAACCATTTTAGGTTCTTATTCCTCTTATGATAACTAGAAGAGAATACTAATGATGGGAAATCAGAGTGTTTTCGTAAATGTTCTTTTGATGTACCGGTACATGTATTTTGTGACTGTCTCATTTATGAAATTATTTTGTATGATTTAGTTACAATCAGAGAAGAATGAATCAAGAAAAATTATAGGAATAATTTGCTTGTAACTAATATTTTGATTAACTGATTATCAAGATTATACCCGGTAATCAATTTCTTATAATTGAGGGCCATTTTGATTAGAAAGTGTATCAATCAGTACATCACTAAAAAATACACTTACGATTCACTTGATGGATTTTCTGAATCATTGGGAATTGCTAACATCATCATAACAGTGTCTTTTTCCCATGGTGTCAGAATGTTTTGCACTTTATGTTTCCATAAAATCATTGTGACATTTTTCCTTGAGAAATTAAGTTTTAATCCTGCAGACAAGGCATGTTACATACAAAGGATGTTTTCTAATTATCTAGTGAAGTGCTAATTGTATTTACATGAAGCAATCTAGATTCCGGCCTGTACATTATATTAAAGGTCAAATACATTGTAGAAGATCTTTACTTTTTCATTGCATTTAAATATCTAGTGATGGAATACCTTTTGACACATTGTAGTTTGGTAAGTAAGAATACATTTTTTTTTTACTGTACATTACACACATTATTCTACTTGCTTACATTGAAACATAAGAACAGATGAAAGTGGAATTTTATGTAACCAATTCAGAAGGAGTGGTTAAAAGATATTTAATGTAAAGTAAATGTAATTCTTTTGTGTTTGTGTATTTGATAGAACATCGTAGTGTTTGAAAGAATTAAATCTTGGCCATAACCTTTGAACAGTTAGTGCTAGGGCTTTCATATATTGAGTGTTCCTTGTGACAAATCCACATTTTTGACCTCCTGGCTTAACCTTTAACTTTGACCTAAATTTGTAAAAACATTAACCATGTTAATCTTTGCTACAGCTTCAGAATGTTTGATGAAAAAAAAAGATGGTTATTGCTTAAAAATAAAAAAGAATTTGTAATATAGGTAAACCCAATCATGCAACACATGAAAGTGTGTGTTGGCATCTAAGAAAAGGTAAAAGCTAGAGTTTGCTTGTGATTTTGTTGGTACAATATCGTTACACCTTTCAGGCTGTGGGCGGGTTTACCAGTATATCGGACCTGAGTGAAGTCCCAGGACTGGGTTATGGAATCATAGAACAGAGCAGACTTTGTCTGGAGTGTACAGTGGCGTCCAAGTCCAGGCACCGTGCTGCAAGGTAAAAACACAAAGACAGTACCAAAGAAAGATTTTTCAAGAAGCAGCGCCTCTTGGAATTACTTAGTTTGTTCAAAATAAAACTAATAATTTTACAGATAAAGTATATGAATAAGTGAGTCAGCAAGATTCTAGCAAGATTATTTCCCGAGGCAAAGCCAAATAGGCTTGCTTATGTAATATGAAATCTGAATGTTGAGAGCTGCTTTCATAATTCAATTTGCCCAAAACATGATAAATAAGAAAAATGTATTTCTTCAATGAATCTTGCATTGACTTTAACCAAAAAAATATGCTGATTTAAGGGGGAGGAAATCCAGAAGTGATGTAGAGCCAGCGGAGAGTGAAGTCCCTATAGAGTCTCCTCAGCCCTCCACAAGCACCTGTCGGTCACTGCGGTCCCGCCTGATAGAGACCCCCAGTACATCAGTGTCAGATGATAGCCTCAACTCTACCCAGGGTAAGGCAGAGGGTGCACCACCAGAGGGAGTGGGGGCGGCAGAGGAGGACGATGTAGGGGAGGAGGAGGAGGAAGAGGAGGGGCAGTGGAGCCCAGGGGAGGATGGGCCTCAGGTGAGTCAAGGGCAGAGAACTCTGACGGTCAGACATAATGTGTGTGATTAGAGGTCAATCTTTGTTTTCAGAAAAGGTCTTAATAATTTTTGAAATATAAATAAATTTTCATGAACATTTGAAGTGACATTTATTTTTTCTTTTTAAGGTATCAGATGAGGAGGTGAGTAGTCCCACAGAGATAGACTCGGCTCCTCCCTCTCCACAAAACCACAGACCCATACAACGACTTAACACCCAGCGCTCAAGGATACCTGTTCTTGTGGGAAAGGTACAATGCTTATCTTGTTCATAAAAAAATTTGTAAAACCAGTATTATATGAAGATAATTGAAAAATAAATCAATTTAAAACCATTTAAATTAAAATATTTATTGTTCATTATGTAAAGCTTGTATATGTACATAGAAATTTTCTTTAGATATTTGTATCAGAGTAATAAGGATAAATTTATATTCTTTAAAAAAAAATTATGAGAAACATTCTTACCTTTATAATTAAATAAACATATTTCTTAAGTCCTGATATTCTCAATTCTCAGATGAAAAGAAAAAGTTATGGATATGGAGAGGAAGTCTGGAAACCACCCTTCAAAAGGCCCTGTCGTGCAGATGACTTTGATAGGTAATATATTAAATAGATATCTATTTATTATTAATTTATATGAATTTATTATGTATTTTGTATAAATAACTTCTTATTTCATTGCACAGTCAAAGTACATTTGGAAACTTGAAGAAGACCACAATCATTCCATCCTATGCTGGAGGACATCGTCCCAGAATTCCCTCCAAAGAGAACCCCCCGCCCCGCCTGATGGAGTGGTTACAGACCTTCCAGGTAATACTGATAGGTCATAATGCTGTCTAAAGCTGTCAGAGAATGTAGAAAAATTTGTAGATGTTAAAAAAAAAAAGTCGTATAAGTGTTAGAAAATCAAAGTCCTAAATTGTAGATCACTAAATTTTTGAGACACCTTATTTTAGTGAGATAGTCATTTACTCTTGATTAGCTAGGCAAAATTTTCAAGAATCAAAACAATTTTGAGTTGATCAGTGATTTGTAATGCCTTTTAATTGTAGAGATGGAGTAATGCAGAACGTCTTATGGCTGTCGATGAACTCATTCAAATTTGTGAACCCACTCAAGTGCGACATATGATGCAGGTCATTGAACCTCAGTTTCAGAGGGACTTCATCTCACTACTGCCAAAAGAGGTAAAACCACCGGTGTAATGAAAGGTCTTTCACTAAAATTTTTATTTGATGTAGGGCAATGTATTACTCTGAAATTATTGTTAATAATTATACTTATTGTACATGTATTTTTATTCCTGTCGTGAATGTAATGTTCATTGATATAAATTGGTGAAAGCAATTAAATTGTCTTATTTTATTGTTACTACTTTTCAGTTGGCATTGTATGTTTTATCATTCCTTGAGCCAAAATCGCTGTTGAAGGCAGCTCAGACTTGTCGATACTGGCGTGTCCTAGCTGAGGACAACCTCCTGTGGCGGGAGAAGTGTAAGGAGGAGGGGATCACGGAGACCCTGGTGTACGGCTCTAACCGGCTACGACGCAGGACAGGATGTAGAAGTCCATGGAAGGCCCTGTACATGAGGCAGCATCAGATAGAACAAAACTGGAGGGCAGCTGAACTCAGGAGTCCTAAGGTATACTCACCGTGGCAGGCCTATACCGTAAAAGAAGCAATGTGATGCAATTAATGCTCCTCTTCACATTTCAGTTTTATCATTGTATTGGTAGATTTTTGTTTATCACTGTTTTAATAAAATGATTTCTCCCTCAAATCCTCCCCCTTATACTAAGGATCATTGCTAAATGTTTTACACAATGCCATTGATCTTTTATTTTTTTCCCCAGCTGCTGAGAGGACATGATGATCATGTGATTACGTGTTTAGAGTTCTGTGGCTCTCGTGTGGTCAGCGGTTCAGATGACAACACACTCAAAGTCTGGTCTGTCATCACAGGAAAGGTAGGCAACTGTTTAACTTATTGTCAGGATGAATACAGTGAGTCATGTATAAATTAAAATGGACCGTCAAGAATTTAGGAGGGATCTGTTAAAATTAATCTGCTTAATAGTGTTTATATGTCTACAACTTTTGTTTAGATAATTTTTAAATGCCAGTCTTTGATGGACTGTATTATGTTGTAGGTTTTATTATTTGTTAGTTTGCTCATTTGTGTCCAGGTCATAGTTTGAATTCCTAAGACAATCAAAAATCCTTGTCAGATGCATCTTAAGGGAAAGGTGTGCCAACTCTAAAGTAGGTCGTGAAGGGCTCCTTTTGGACTTTATACACACAATCAAATCAATTTGCACGTCGTATGACCTAGGGTGACCTAGGGTCATCAATCTTATGGATCATAAGTTGAAGGGGGCGGGGGGAAGACCTGATCTCCTTTTGGGTATTTATGGGTTATACATAATCAAATCATTTCAGTACCATTTCAGATATGATGTACCGGAGCTATGCATTTTATTTTTCATAAAATCCAATAATATTTATACTTTGTATTTTATTTTAGAAGGCAACAATAGGACTTTTTTTTATCATGTCTGACTCTGAATATCATACGGATGGGGTTTTTAATGGTGGGGTAGATTTGTAACTTTGTATGAATGATTAACCTCAAAAAATTTTCCTGATATAAATTAAGGACAGATGATACAAACAAACTTTTTTCAAAATTTTGAAAATAACAACTTGGGTCATATTTTAATGAATAAAATGAATAGGTTTCACCACATAGTTTTTAAATTTTTATTCAAAGTTGCACAAAAATGGAATTTGAAGTGAAAAATATTTATATAGAATAATAAGGATGGTTTCAGAAGGAAAGAATTTTAATGACACAGAAGGTTTACAATTTCTTTGTATTTTAGAAATTTATTATTTGCATCATTTGCAATGAAATTAGGTCCAAAAATATATACCAATCCAGGCATCCATTTTTTGTTTGTATCATCTGTCCTTAAGTAGGAAAAAAGTAGTTCTATTTAGTCTCATCTGAGTAATTATCTTGCCTGCTGCAGAAGATATAGGTCAGAGCCAAATCAATAATTCTCTCCTCTGTCTGCTACTGATGTATTTTTTAATTAAGCTCATGCCTTGGTGATGCTTGCATTCACATATATACATAGAAATATTTATAAAAAGTTTCTACAGAACAGCAGGCCCACAAAAATTCTTAATACGTAATCATCTTCATGTTGTTTTGATTGGTCTAGGTTGAGGCAACAATATCTGTTTTACTTTGAATCCCTCAAGTATTTTAAAGGATTACTCTTTCTAAATTGTAACATCTTTTATAAAGTGACAGTGTAAATATTTAACAGTTTACAGAACTGACATACAAACAGATTTAAGTTTGATTAACTACCGGTATATTTTTCAGTGCTTGAGGACTTTAGTGGGTCACACTGGAGGGGTGTGGTCTTCCCAGATGGAGGATAACATCATTATCAGTGGCTCCACAGACAGAACCCTCAAAGTGTGGAACGCTGAATCAGGACAGTGCATCAACACCTTGTATGGACACACGTCTACAGTCAGGTGTATGCACCTTCACAAAAACATGTAAGTAACATGTATAGTGTCAACACTCATTATGATACACATGTAATAGTGGGTTATAGCTGCAAAACTGTAGGTCTTTGGTTGAGAAAACAGCTTAATTATGGCAGTGAGAACTTTATTTTCACATAATTAAACTTTTCTATCTCTTGCAAATATTTTATTCTTATGGTTTAAATTTGTAACACAACTTTTTGTGTATCACAATAACCACAGAGCTCAAACAAATTTTGTCTCACATGTAAATAAATAATAGTTATCTTGCATAAATAAAGTTTGTGATCTACAGTTTTAGACAAAAGTCAGTTATTTCAACCACTGGTTATCTTTTTCAGAGTTGTGAGTGGATCCCGAGATGCCACACTTAGAGTGTGGGATATCCATAGTGGTGTGTGTAAACATGTATTAATGGGCCATGTGGCGGCAGTGCGGTGTGTGCAATACGATGGGAAACGGGTGGTCAGTGGTGCTTACGATTACATGGTGAAAGTCTGGGATCCTGAAACAGAAACCTGTATACACACTTTACAGGGACACACTAACAGGGTCTATTCATTACAGGTAAGACACACTACAGGGACACACTAACAGGGTCTATTCATTACAGGTAAGATACTCCTGTATACACACTTCACAGGGACACACTAACAGGGTCTATTCATTACAGGTAAGGTACACCTGTACACATACACCACACGGACACACTAACAGGGTCTATTCATTACAGGTAAGATACACCTGTATACACGTACTGCATGTACACACTAACAGGGTCTATTCTTTACAGGTAAGATACACCTGTAAACACACACTACAGGGACACACTAACAGGGTCTATTCATGGGACACACTACAGGGACACACTAACAGGGTCTATTCATTACAGGTAAGACACACTACAGGGACACACTAACAGGGTCTATTCATTACAGGTAAGATACACCTGTATACACACACTACAGGGACACACTAACAGGGTCTATTCATTACAGGTAAGACACACTACAGGGACACACTAACAGGGTCTATTCATTACAGGTAAGACACACTACAGGGACACACTAACAGGGTCTATTCATTACAGGTAAGACACACTACAGGGACTCACTAACAGGGTCTATTCATTACAGGTAAGATACATCTGTATACCCACTTCACAGGAACACACTAACAGGGTCTATTCATCACAAGTAAGATACACCTGTATACACACACTACAGGGACACACTAACAGGGTCTATTCATTACAGGTAAGTATACACACACTACAGGGACACACTAACAGGGTCTATTCATTACAGGTAAGACACACTACAGGGACACACTAACAGGGTCTATTCATTACAGGTAAGACACACTACAGGGACTCACTAACAAGGTCTATTCATTACAGGTAAGATAATACACCTGTATACACACTACAGGGACACACTTACAGGGTCTATTCATTACAGGTAAGATACACCTGTTTACACACTTTACAGGGACACACTAACAGGGTGTATTCATTACAGGTAAGATACACATGTATACACACTTTACAGGGACACACTTACAGGGTCTATTCATTACAGGTAAGATATACCTGTATACACACACTACAGGACACACTAATAGGGTCTATTCATTACAGGTAAGATACACCTGTATACACATTTTACAGGGACACACTAACAGGGTCTATTCAATTGTAGTTCATTTTTTTTGCATGTTTTAGGATGTCATATTTAGGTTTAAAAAAAAAAATCAACAAAATTGTAGTAGAAATTATCAATTAAGACAGGGTAGTTTTTTTTTTCTTTATTTTGGAATTAAACTTCACCATTTTAGTGCATTTTGCAATAAAAAACGAGAGATTTTTTGTAATACTGTATACAGGAACATTTTCGCCCCGTTTTATTTTCGCCCCTTTTGCCCTATCCTCATTTGGGTGAATTTAAAACGGGTGAATTCAAAGAATACAATATAATTTCTTAAACAAAACTATGACTGGGCGAATTTAAAACGGGGCTAAATTGTTTGTGAGTGTGAGAGGGCGAAAAATAACACGGGGCAAAAATAACCCTGTATACAGTACTATTATTATGTTTCAGTTTGATGGTGTTCACATTGTGAGTGGATCATTGGATACGTCTATCAGAGTGTGGGACGTGGAGTCGGGGAACTGTCTACATACACTGATTGGTCACCAGTCATTGACAAGTGGCCTCGAGTTAAAGGACAACATACTGGTCTCAGGGAATGCCGATTCCACCGTCAAAGTGTGGGACATCACTACAGGACAGTGCTTACAAACTTTACAAGGTAAGCCGATTCCACCATCAAAGTGTGGGACATCACTACAAGACAGTGCTTACAAACTTTACAAGGTAAGTCCATTCCGTTGTCAAAGTGTGGGACATCACTCCAGGACAGTGCTTACAAACTTGACAAGGTAAGTCCATTCAATCGTGAAAGTGTGGGACATAACTACAGGACAGTGCTTACAAACTTGACAAGGTAAGTCCATTCCACTGTCAAAGTGTGGGACATCACTACAGGACAGTGCTTACAAACTTGACAAGGTAAGTCCATTCCATAGTCAAAGTGTGGGACATCACTCCAGGACAGTGCTTACAAACTTGACAAGGTAAGTCCATTCCATCGTCAAAGTGTGGGACATCACTACAGGACAGCACTTACAAACTTGACAAGGTAAGTCCATTCCATAGTCAAAGTGTGGGACATCACTACAAGACAGTGCTTACAAACTTGACAAGGTAAGTCCATTCCACTGTCAAAGTGTGGGACATCTCTGCAAGACAGTGCTTACAAACTTTACAAGGTAAGTCAATTCCGCCGTCAAAGTGTGATACATTACTACATGACAGTGCTTACAAATTTTACAAGGTACCAAACATCTTCAGGGTCTATTTAATCTCAGTGTTTTGAAGCTAGGACTAAAGAATAGTGTAACACAATTTTCTGGTAAAGCTGTTCATGTTTATGTTTTCTTTCAGGGCCAAACAAACATCAGAGTGCTGTGACTTGTCTCCAGTTTAATAAAAAGTTTGTCATCACATCATCAGATGATGGAACTGTGAAAATCTGGGATTTAAGATCGGGAGACTTTCTGAGAAATCTGGTCTCCTTGGACAGTGGGGGGAGTGGGGGTGTGGTATGGCGCGTCCGCTGCAGTAATACCAAACTTGTGTGTGCTGTGGGAAGTCGGAATGGCACAGAAGAGACCAAACTTCTGGTGCTGGACTTTGATGTAGAGGACAAAAAGACATGATGTATTGTGCATGTGCTTGTGTTTATTTGTGATAACCTCAGTGCTTAAAGCATGTGGTGTGTCCAGTTAATGCAATTTCTCATCACGGGTCAACAGTGCTTCTGCACACTAATGAACTATTTTGGGCATAATGGTAAACTCTTGTTTCACGCTGTTGACTGAGGTGCAAGTTCATCATCACATTATTGTATAGTGCAACATTACCAAAATCTGTTCATGTTGTTGTTGTGTGGAGATCTATGATTACTCATACCCAACGTAAAACCTGATGTCCCTTTGTGAATGTGTGTTGTAAGAAAGCCAGGGCATTCTCTTCATTAGTATGTATTATATATTATATTTACACTATGGCCAGCAAACAATTTAATTAGAATGCAAGGTATCAAATCATGAGCTGATTTTTTTTTTGTATTCAAGAGTGTTGTGAAATGAGGAGATCATCTAGTCATGGATTGAATAAGTTTGTAAAATTCTGATGGCAAGAGTTCATATTTCAGTTACACTTGTGATTTGTACTTCTTTTTAATGAGCATATTTTATCAAATTGATATTTTCTACCATGTTCAAGTTGCAGTTAAAATGTACATGAAAATAAACAATTAAAATTCAGTATGTTAGTCATGTTTTTGTCACAATTTAGCAGAGCCAACAGGACGAGGGAAGGGAAAAAAATATACCATCACAGAATTTCTAAATTTTGAATTTGTCTAGAAATTTTGGAAATTTGAAAACTTTCAAGTTTCATACTAGCTGCAGAACTGTAGCTCTCCGAAAAAAAAATATGACAGACCGGAGAGCTACACTGCCACCCATTGAAAAAACTATATTTATTGTGCACAAAAAGTTGTGTTTTTTTTGTGGATTTTTTTCTCCAAAATTCTTACCTCAATTGCCAAAAAACTAGATTTCTAAAATTTCCTTACTTCTCTATCAAGTACTCTTGTACTTGACATCTGAAGCTTGTTGGACCGAATTATCTTGCAAACCAAAATGGCAGTACAAATAGACGAAATGTTCAATGACCTCAATTTCGGGGCCAGCAGGGTTATTGACAACAATTATAAGGAATGTTTTGTTGTGGAAACAGTGGAAGAATATGTTAGGAACACACGGTTAGTAATATTTTTAGATAACAGTTTTAAAAACATGGAGAAATAAATCGAGAAACAGCGCACTTTTTGGTGTGCAATAAATATACAGTTTTTTTTTCAATTGGTGGCACTGTAGCTCTCCAGTCTGTCATTTTTTTTTTCAGAGAGCTACAGTTCTGCACCTAGTTTCATACTCGATACGAAAGTATAAATGTAGTTTGTGACCAAGTGTTTCTTAACTTGTACTAGTAGTATGCTGTGTTCACAATCTTGCATCTACATAGCTGCTATGATGCTATAATAGCAGATTTAATTCTTATAAATTCTTTATATCTAGTCTAGCTGCGATGTTTTTGAATGAGGTGTTTTGAATAGGCTTAAAAGTTCAAAATAATGCATAAATTATTAGCTCAGATGAGCTTATCTGACCTCTGTTTGAATAGAACATATTTAAATATTGCATGAATAAGGATTTGGGATTTGAAACACCCACTCTAATTGACTTTTTAAGTAGTTTTTATGGAAGGCACTCTTCAACAGTTGACGATCCTTTCGTCAAATCCATTCTGCAATCAACCAAACACTTTGCAAAGCATGACATTCTATTAGAAATGTTTTCAGAATTCAGCAGCGACATGTGGTTTTTACTGTTTACTTGGTCACAGAAAAAACTTACACAGCTTCTTTTCCACTCTACAAGGCCAAAATAGAAAAATCATATACCCAGAACATTGTTTCATACTCATATTAAATATTGGCATTGTTTTAGATGAACAGCAGTGGCTTCAAATACAGTAAAACTCGGTTAGTACGAACACGGATATTGCGAATTCACAGATATAGCGAAGTTATCTTGGATCCCCAGTTATATAAATTTAACAAATTCTTACATGGTTATAACGAATTACGGATATAATGAAGTAATTTCATAGGTCCCAGTGACTTCGTTATAACCGAATTTTACTGTACTTTCCAGTTGCTTCGATGAATGCATGTAAATTAAATACAGTCGTGTTGATCATAATCAGAAGTTGCTCAATTGGTCCAGATGTTTAGATCAAAGACAAATGTCTTCGAGATACATGAATAAGACATAACGCATTCAAAGACTAAAATGTATCTGGCAGCTTGTATGTTCGAATATGGAAATAAACTGAAAGCGATTTTAGTCACTAATGAGCGCCATATCTGAAACGGTGTATGAAAGAATATACAGAATACTATTTAAAAGGAAAAAAAGGTTCACATTAGGTTGTGTGTTGATTAATGATACTTCAAAGTATATTCTGTCAATTTGTATTTTCATTATTTGCTGTTTTAAACTACATATACACTGTATTACATGAAAAAATACTCATTACTTTTATAACACAATAGCACGTCTTTGAAAAATAGTTCATGCCTTTGTATTACGGGTTGATATTAGAATTCATGAATTTGAGCATAGAAATGAAAGTTTACATAGTCCAACTTGGGTGCTGTGAAATCACTAATTTTTGTGCGGGGGTCGGGGTTGGTGGGTGGTGGTTAATTTTCATTGTTTTCTAGATATGGAGAGACCCACAAACTTATGTCTACCATGAAATGTAAAAATTTTTACGCATTACTACACTAAACATTCTTCAAACATAGGTAATCAAAGATTACGAAACTCACCTCGACGAATGTTATCAGCGAATGCAAATCTCACATCATATTTTCTTAATATTTAGTATTCATCCCAACAACAATATTCTTGCAAGTTGTGTGTGGCATATACACATTTCTAAGCCTGTAGCATGAAAAATATGCATATGTATAGTGTAAACAAATATTCATATCTGTTAATAATGCAGATATCAAGGTCTTCAAGTTATTCGGATTGATCATTCCCAAAACTTTAACCAAGTCTCTTGTATGGAAAATATTTAAACATCCGAAGCAATATATGTCCATCCTAAGATGCATCATCCATGCAAGTTTGCTTTAGCTAGGGCTTATAGTTACTTGGGAATGAAAATGTAGGTCAGATAGCACACAGTGTCCATAGATACATCATCCATGCAAGTTTAGTTTCGCTAGGGCTTATAGATACTTGGGAATGAAAATATAGGTCAGATCCAGCATCCGAAGCAAGTCTGGAAGTGTCCATCCCTAGATGCATCAGCCATGCAAGTTTGGTTCAGGTAGGGCTTATAGTTACTTGGGAATAAAAATGTAGGTCAGATCCAGCATCCCAAGCAAGTCTGGTAGTGTACATCCCTTGATGCATCATCCATGCAAGTTTGGTCCAAATAGGGCTTATAGTTCCTGTGGAATGGACCTGCTCCAAAAACTTTAACCTGGTCTCTCATCTGGAAAATGTAGGTCAGATCCAGCATCCGAAGCAAGTCTGGTAGTGTTCATCCCTAGATGCATCATCCATGCAAGTTTGGTCTGGGTAGGGCTTATAGTTCCTTGGGAATGGACCTGCTCCAAATACTTTAACCTGGTCACTCATCTGGAAAATGTAGGTCAGATCCAGCATCCGAAGCAAGTCTGGTAGTGTACATACCTAGATGCATCATCCATGCAAGTTTGGTCTGGGTAGGGCTTATAATTCCTTGGGAGTGGACCTGCTCCAAAAACTTTAACCTGCTCCAAAAACTTTAACCTGGTCACTCTGGAAAATGTGTAAGCTTCTGAAGCAAGTCTGTAGTGTACATTCCTTGATGCATCATCCATGCAAATTTGGTCCCGGTAGGGCTTATAGTTTCTTGGAAATGGACCTGCTCCAAAAACTTTAACCTTTTTAACCAGGTCACTAATCTAGAAAATGTAGATCAGATCCAGCATCCGAAGCAAGTCTGGTAGTGTACACCCCTAGATGCATCATCCATGCAAGTTTGGTTCAGGTAGGGCTTATAGTTACTTGGTAATGGACTTGCTCTTAAAACTTTAACCTGGGACGCCGACGCTAACGCCGACACCGACGCCGACGCCAACGCCGGGGGTATAGCATAAGCTCATCTCGACTTCGTCGAGGTGAGCTAAAAATGAAATCTTATCCCCACAAACCGATATTTTTTCCTCAAACCTTGAAAATTTGACCCTACTTGACCCTACAGGAATTTGTGATTTTACAGTACTGTATCTTGAACCCTGTTATCTGGAATACCATGAATACATGTATATCAAATGTGAATTGGAAGAACACTTACTAAAACTCTTCAACAATTTCATATCTTGATTCCTCAGATATCTGTAAGTACCTTCTTTCTCAGTACCATAGAGTTAAAGATAATGATGGTTTATATGTACATCTTTTCAATGCAAGTATTTTAATTATTTAAAAAAGAGTTGAAAATGAGTTTCCAAGGGACATCTAAAACTGCTCTTCTCGCACTCCTTACCTTGCACTCATATAAATTGTATGGATGATACTTTTTACATTTTGATTTTAAAACCAAAATATTGTATTGTTGTCAAATGACTTGATGCATTTGATAAAGAAACCTTGAGGGTGCAGCACCAATTGAAAGAAAAAACAAGAACAAAACTGATTTCATCATTTGTGTCATTTTAATAATAAACAATAAATATTCTTATATTTATAATTTGGCCTAATGATAAGTGATGACATACACATGTGGTAACAGTAAGCTATCCACAGACACAACCAGTCACAGAGCGGGCTGGCCTGCCAACACTGAAGCAGACAGGGCAACATATAAAACATGGTACAACCTTGGTGGAACAGATCTTTCCACTAACTAGAGATTCAGGTACATGGATATTGAGAAAAAAATTAAACATGACCTGAGAGATTTTTTTTCATATTCTTCACGAGACATTCCATGTATAGAATACATAATTTTATGTACTTCCCAAGTTATCAGAACATAAAAGAAATTAAGCACTTATCACTTCACATTACAAATTTAAATAAATAAATAATCTGAAATTGACAAAAAAAAAAATGATATGGCATGAAGATTTTAACATACAATAAAGTACATACTTAATTCATAAAATTTATAGTGCAACTAGTGAAGGTTTTTTTTACACTTAATTAAAACATCATGGCAATACTGAATGGTATTACATACCTCCAAAATGAAAGCGAAATTTTAACTGTTCATAAATTTAAAAAATAATTAATGCTTTTTCTGCTTGATTTTCTATTTGTGACCATAATTTACATAATGTTCAGAGCCTGGAATGCATATAATTTTAGAATCATCCAATTAATAACAGGGTAGACAAATTTTGATGTCATTCCTGACATTTCACCTAGCTATATAATCATTTAATTGCATCTAATGGAATGAATTTGATGTAGGCATTGACCCAGAATTTTATGAAAAATAATAATTAAATCTGTTGATTCAATCTCTCTATCCTACAAAATTAAGGCCACTGACTCAATCAGTGCTTTGGGAATGCATTCAATGTCATCATATTGCCATCAAAAACAGAGAACAATCACTGAACATACATATTGTACATGCAAAAAGTTTTTAAAAATGCTTCCACATTCCATACAAACAACAAATTTAAAATTGATAGAGAACATCTCAGCTTCATAACAAATATATAATATATATATATAGCAGTCAAGCCCAGGTCACAGACACGGGATCAAAGGTCATGTACTGCGGGGAATCCCCAGATCTCGGGCTCTCCGCAGTATCACATGATCTATATATCAATAAAATCTTGTCATAGTCTCAATGTCAACATATTAGCTCTTTAATAAATATCCTCTCTACCATATTGCAAACAGAAAAGAATATCTTGTTTCTTAACATTAAAACATTTTATTATATATCACAGAGCAGCAAGGGTTTAGTTTCTTTCTGAACTTCAAAATTTCTTCATAAGTGTTCTAGCTGTTTGTATTTTACAAACTCTCTCCAAGAAAAAAAAATTTGTCTGACAATGCAACTACCATGACTACATCTTTGTGACAATACCAATGTTCATCTGACTCATTGATATGTCACCATTAATTTATAGCATATAAATAGCATCATATTTTTATCACTCAAATAAATTAGAAAAATAGTATAGTGGTTGACTTAGCACTTTTCTGTATACCATTGATGCATATAGCACTCTTCCAAAATCGCACCCAAGACAAATTGAATTTCCTGTGTGCAACCCCCCACCCCTTTTTTAAATATTTTAGCATTCTTTTGAAAATGCCAAGAAATTTGGAAGGTTTTCATGTTTTTATAAAAGAACATTATCAGGCTTTTGCCAAGAGAGTTTGGATTCTACTTATTATGTTTTAAAGATTCATTGTTAAGAATTTGTGTGAAAAAATGACAAAAATTTTCTAAGGTGTAAGTTAAAAGTGAATTTCATGCGTTTACACAGTCTTATGAATACTTTTTGCTGATTTAGATAGCTTCTGTCAGCATTGTTCTCCATCAGAAACCTATTACAAGAAACAATGAAGATTACTGAAATTCTTGTTGAGAAGGCCAATCAGCTATATAACATGTAGAGAGATTTTTAAAGATGAGTATAGCTTTATTTTGTGTTATCTACTTTAAGTACTCAGTTTGCTATTCTTCATGAGATCATTATTTGCACAAAAGAATATTAGCCTTTGTATGTCATGTAACTAATCAAAATACTGTATTTTGAAACTAGCATTTAAAACTTGTAATTGAAATATTAATCACTCTAGAGTTCTAATACTAAGTTGAGTTTACTGGCATTTTTGGCAGTTTTCCAAATTGTAATTTGGTACTGGAAGTCATCATTTTATGGCAAAAGTAAACAATTCCTTTAAGACATATGTAGAATTCATGGTGCAATAATCTTATATCAAGAGTTTAACAGTGGTTTGGTGTAGGACTCTTTTGACTAGTTTACGGTATATAAAATGAATACTTTACGCATCTTACAACTTAAAAATAAATACTTTCAATTTGATTTAATCAACATTATCAAAATTCGAACTAAAGGCCCATAGGCCATAGAGGTCACCTGAGTATCAGCAGCAACTCAATACAAAATAACTACAGCCTTAAAGTAAACATGCTTCTTTTGTGAAGTACATTAACACTACAAGCCTTCTATCAGAACTGAGGAGGAAGATTCATAGAAATCATATATAACCCCACTTTAGGCCCCACTAAATGACTTTATAATCAAGGTGGAGATATTATTGCTTATTATACATATCTTGTCTGACATATACTATACAAATATAGCCTTTTCATAAGGTCAATCCATAGATACAGTGGACCTTCAGATATCCGGATGCTTCAGTATCCGGACGACTTTTCATGGGAACAGAATTTTTAAATGTTATATTGTTTTGTTTAACTGGTAATTCAGATATCTGGACGCTTCACATATCCGGACAAATTACTAGGAACCAAAGCGTCCGGATAAATGAGGGTCCACTGTATATTGACTTCACAGAAAAGCATCCTGACCTTGCACTTCATGCTTGATTGCTTACTTTTCTGTGTAGTTGATATACCTAGCTACCGGTCAACCCTCGTAAAAGGGCTATATAGGTATATTTACAAATTACTTAACCTCTGCATGAAGCCTCATAGTCTTAACGTTCTTAAAGTTACCAGAGAGTTCTAAGCTAAATGTAAAGATACAATGTTTTGTAGATGTGCCTAAAATTCACAAATCATAAATAGATGCAGACCAAGTTCAGTTGGAACAGGTTTGGTGGTTTCAGAAGATTTAAGAACTCTTCATTGATTACATATAGGTGACAGAGCACACAGAGAGATTGCAATGGGCCATTCAAGTGATTCTGGTGACCTCAAAATCTCAACAATTCTCACAGTATAAATCTGAATCAGCTTCATGATCAATGCAGTATCACAAACGTAAACAAACTGGATACATAAAAAAGGAAAAAAAAAAGTTTCAACAATCCGAAGTGAATAATGAACTAATGTCCCCTTTGCGTTAAGCTCAATCCTTAGTAGAAACTTCCTTGGAAGACCAAAACAAGTGGAAATGCTTAGATGAACAAATGTTGTAAATTGCCTCTGTCAAATGTCAAATTACTACATAATCTACCATTTATACTATGAAGTTTTAGGTGTTGTTTCACACACAACTTATTTGCACTAGATAAGATTTGAAACTCCTTCGTATTTTCTGTATCACATTTGGAGAAAGGCGACTATTCGCAAATTGATTGAAAGCACAATTGTGATATATATTTTGTCATGTTATAGCTGCCTTCACTTGGATGAATTCAAATCCACTTTTGACCTTTCGACTTTGAGCACCAAATATTATGTCATGCCATCCTTCCACCCTGTGGCTGGCCCCTTAAAGAGAACACTGAGAATTGCTGAACACCCATCAAGAATGATGACAACCACAGGTGAGCACCAGTCTGTATAAAACTCCTTCCTTCATTCTTGTTAAGTGTCTTTTAACTTCTCTACAACTTTCTGGAGATAGGTGATTAAGTCTTGCATACTGCTTTGAATAGTCAGTGTTTCTGAGTGTTCCTCTAAATCATCAAAGAACCCTGTAAGAATATAAAATTCAATCTTATTCTTCAACAATTGGAGTAAACACAATTAAAACTTCACTAACTCTAAAATTTACATTTTTGTCATTTAAACTTTGACCTTACCTCTGACTTCCTGCATGATAATGTCAGCTTGATCCCAGAGGTCATGAGACTGTACAAGGTAGCCGGTAGATGTGATGTATTGTTGTGTGATGGAATGTATGCGCTGTGGGTATGCAATGGTGGCCGGGGACATATGGACATTACCATTGGGAAGTTTAGAGGGTGTGAGATCAGTACTACTGCCCTGTAAAGTTCAGAAAAAAATTAAAGAATTGCTCAAACTTTTGATAGTGAGACAATGTATATTGTATGGTTCATTTTAAATAATATGCATGGTATATGAATAGCCTATTCTAAGACTCCTTTTTAAATAAAATTAAGTTACAGTATTTCAAACAATAGAACTTTTCACATATTAATAGTAAACTTTAACAATAATAACAAAAGTATCTTAAATATGTGTGGAAATACTGTATTTTGCTTATAAATCTTACCCTGGATTCCAGTGACCCTGTGCTGCCAGCTGGGGAGGGGGTGGGAGACATGGGGGAGGGGGTTCTGTTAGAGCGGGTGCTCCAGCTGTTCTGATGAGGTGACGGGGCATGACTAATAGGGAGGCCTTGAGGGGGTGGCTTGCTTGCTGTAGTCTACAATATCAATTACATGTATGAAACACTTACTGATTGTAGCAGAGGTTTTAATACTTATCAAACAAGAGTGACAGGAAGACTTTCTAAATTATACAGAGTCCCAGAGTGGGCTCAGACCTTTAAACTTTGACATTCAATGAAGAGGGACCTAAATACATTGGCTGTCTTCCTTTAACCTCATCTAACTGTTTTGTAAATGTCTTTAGATCAAGAAAAAAACTTGATAGACTTAATTAAAAAAATACTTGAGCTATTGACACATAAAAGTGCTCAGAGAAGAATATAAGAATAGATTTATTATTAGGCACCTTCATAATTCTGGATTCTAACCATTTCAGTAAGGTTATCATGAATTTGTACCTAATTAACTTAGGTAACATCCCTCCCTGAGTACTGATTTACATACCTTATTGTAATCCTCGATTGCTCTTTTAAGCTTCAAAGTATCGTTCTTTTTCAGCTTGTACAATTTCAGATTCAACAATGACTGGATTCTCAAGCTGTAATACAAAATGCAACTTGTAAAGGAAAAATTAGAGAGAAGTAGTAGCTGCAAAAGCAATTCTCATAAATGTTTCAAGCCTCAACATACTCTTCATATTCTTTAAGGAATGTTTTTTCATTAAATTCTTGTTTGTTTTTGTAGCAGTTTAAGGTAATGATTGAAGACTTTAACAATTTGAAGTTCATGTACACTTTAAATAATGTCTCCTCAAAAATATGATGACATCTCAAATCAATATTAATCAAATAGGTTTCTGAATTGAGATACATGTTATTTATTTATCTTCAGTAATAGCCTTTTTTTTAATTCTTCAAGCATACAGTTTTATCAGGCTTCTGTTTAGTAATCTTTGTTATTCACAGGGATTAATTTGGTAAACTTGGATGACATTTCTCATCAAATTTGTTTTTATTTTGTCCAACTTTTCAATCAATACTAATTTCAGGTAGAGATGAAGTAATGGATACCTCAACACGGATATGATTTTCTCCTTGGTGGACAAGTTATTGTTTGACTCATGGCTTCCTCTCAATCGGCTTATATGTCTGCAAAGAGAGGAGCACAAATAAATCACATGACAACAAGTTATTATGACAAAGTATCATAAAACCTCAGTTATTGATTATCTGGGGGTATCTCTATCTCTGACTGCTCTACAACTGGAGCTCTCATGTTCTATCATGATAACCACAGAAACCTCAAATGATAAATTACACAACTTTATACCAACATTCTGTACAATAGAATTCAAATGAACTGGATATCACCTTTTTGTCCTTCTACCATGTAAGCAGAAATTTTGGCAAGGATTCAATTTTGGCATTTTTAGCAAGGATATTGAAATTGCTAAAATCAAATATCTTTAAAAATTTATTCTGCAATAGATGTTATCATTATCTTCTAAACACCATAAATAAAATTGCTAAATCAATGCTCACTAAAATTACTGTTTTTTTTAGGACAATTCACTTAATTTGGGGCTCGCTAAAAATTTCACTTATAAAGTTTTTTTTTTTTCTCTCACACTTTAATTTCTGACTTTCTATTACCACCATTTAACACTATCTCTATTAAAAATGTTTGTTTTTTTCATTCATTGTTTTTCATTCTCTGTTACCTGTCAGATTTATAGCCTTGTTTGTTAGAAATATTGAACTTGCTTGTTTTCTGTCCATTTTTGTTAGACTTACAAATCAAGCTTCTTTGTTCTTGTGTTTGTCAGACTTATAAAACTAGCTTGTTTGTGTTCTATCAATTGTCAGACTTAAAAACAAGCTTGTTTGTGTTCTAATATTTGTCAGACTTATAAGAACAGCTTGTTTGTGTTCTAATATTTGTCAGACTTATAAGACTAGCTTGTTTGTGTTCTATTATTTGTGTTCGATTAATTATTTGTCAGACTTTTGAGACTAGCTTGTTTGTGCTCTAGTATTTGTCAGACTTATAAGACTAGCTTGTTTATGTTCTTTTATTTGTCAGACTTACAAGACTAGTTTATTTATTTTCTATTATTTGTCAGATTTATAAGATTAATTTGTTTGTCTTCTATTATTTATCAGACTTACGAGACTAGCTTGTTTGTGTTCTATTATTTGTCAGACTTATAAGACTAGCTTGTTTGTGTTCTATTATTTGTCAGACTTATAAGACTAGCTTGTTTGTGTTCTATAATTTGTCAGACTTACAAGACTAGTTTATTTATTTTCTATTATTTGTCAGATTTATAAGATTAATTTGTTTGTCTTCTATAATTTGTCAGACTTACGAGACTAGCTTGTTTGTGTTCTATTATTTGTCAGACTTACAAGACTAGTTTATTTATTTTCTATTATTTGTCAGATTTATACGATTAATTTGTTCTTCTTCTTTCATTTGTCAGACTTTTGAGACTAGCTTGTTTGTGTTCTATTATTTGTCAGACTTATAAGACTAGCTTGTTTGTGTTCTATTATTTGTCAGACTTACAAGACTAGTTTATTTATTTTCTATTATTTGTCAGATTTATAAGATTAATTTGTTTGTGTTCTATTATTTATCAGACTTACGAGACTAGCTTGTTTGTGTCCCTGTACATGGTGAAAATTCTGCCCTGCTCCACATTGGTTCGTTCCATGGCATACCCACACTGTATAAATGCTATAAATGACTCTAAGTATTTCATGGCTCTTTGCAGCTTATCACTCTACAATAAAACAGATTGTTATTTCTCATTTTCATGCCTAAGGCAAATTTTGAGGAAATAAAACCATGATTACACAAATCAAGTTTGGGAAGAGTGAACATTAAAGATATTTTGGGCAAAAATGTACTGGAATTGTACTTTTTATCCAGAAATAAATTGACTTTAAGGTTGAAGTTGCTCTGAGGTACAAACTTACTGAGCTATTCATGTTGTCTGCCTGGTGCTTGAGTTCTTTAGCATGGCGGAGGTAGGTATCTGGTGAAAGATTACACCTACAAAACACAATCAATGTATGAAATGACACTAAAATAAGATTTCTCTCTGCTTTGATGTTAGGTTTTTTTTTAAAAATAATTTTCAGCATCCATGATTCTATTAATATTCAAGTGAGAAATATTTTATGTTGTTATAAGGACAAAATTGATCACTTTTAGGATTATAAGCTATAAAGCCAAACACAGGATCGCAACCAGAGCTAGTGAGGTCATAGCTGTACTTTTCCAGTAATGTGTTGAAAAAAATGACATTTTACAGAGCTTATGAGGTGTAGAAGGACTGTCTGGCCGCTGAATCAATAAAGAAGCCTTAATTATCAAGTAATAGAATGTATTGACAAGACAAACATAAGCCATCTATCAGGCAAGCTACTGAGGTGTCATACTATCAGGCTTCCTTTAATTCTGATCACACAATTGATTTTCCTGCCCTGATTGCTCTCTACTACTTTACAGATTTCCCCTGACAGGTTGACTGTCTGAGCACTAACTGCCTGTATCCACTGACTCCCAATCATTGCTAGATTACCAGTTTATTTTGTAAAGATGCTTTATTGATCAAATGCAAAAAAAGGCTTCCTTAAAGACAAATGCATAATCAGAGACAAATTGTTTATAAAAACTTCAAATACATACCATAAAACTCAATTATACAGAAGTCTCTGGGATCTAAATGTTGCTCCCTTATATCTGAGATTCTTTATAGCCATAAACATAATTTACAAAGTTTGTAAAAATTTCCTTAAAACCAAAATTTTCTTAAAAGTGACTTCTTCATAATTGAGATTTACTGTATTGGCTTTAACTTTCAAAATAACAAATTTCAGACATCTATGATGTTGTTCATGTATATGAAAATGATTTTTTACTATCACTCTTACAGAAGTTTGTTTAAATTTAAATGTGTAAGCTTTAATAGTTAGCACTCACCAGTCATCCATGGTTTTAGCTGACTTGCGGGTCTGGGGACTAGGTACATGGGCCACATCTCCCTCTCCCCCTCGAGAATAACTGGTCATTTCCACTGAGGAAGGATACTGACCACTGTTCTCTGGACCATTTCCTGGAACCTCCAATTCCTCCTGTGACACAAAGAGAGAAATATTTCTTTAAATCCTTCTTTTTAAAAACATGCATAACAGTTCAGTGCACATCCAGTCTTGTTATACAATACAAATTGTATATGATTTCTAGGGTATTGTAAATGTAATTTGTTTATGGAGTCATAAATACACTGTATTCAAAATCAACTTCTGATAAATCTGCTGGGGAAAAATCATGCTTATTTCTTGGTTTGATTTTGTATTTGTTCACAGAGATTTAAAAACCTTTGACAAATTAAAGAACTTTCAAAATTTAAAATTTAATTAAACGATAAAATATATATTGTATTGCATACATCCTGAGGCGTCCTAAATAACTCATATACCCTTGATGCATCAATTCTAAGCTTATTTTTTCCATTTATTGATGAAAAATAAATTCTGCAGAAGATTTCATTATGAGGTGTCTCTTGATACTAGATTTGTATTAAATTTGTTTTTGACATTTTGCTTTCTTAAAAGTACTTCAATATTAGCACTGGATTTAACAGTGATATAAAATGAGCTTGTCAATCCCTGACCTTGTCATCTAACTGGTGGCCTGTCATGTCTGGTTCTGTGCTCTGGTTTTTGGTTTTCTTTGACTGTTTACTGGTGCTACTGAACTGACTAGAATTACTACTAGAACTGCTTCTTCTCTCCTTGCCCTCTGACCTCTGTGGGTGTTTCATATCCCATTCATGGTCATTGGTGTGACTTATTCTCCTAAAAATTAATAAAATGAATTAAATCAGAAATATACTCCATACATTGCTTATTGGTCTTTAATATGCATTTAAAAATTAAAGCTTAAATACAGAAAAACAATCTACAGTTAAAAAAACACAGATTTCACACACTAAATTCACATTTGATAACAACAAATTTTCAACACAAAATTTGTTTATCATCATAATGATTATATTATACAAATGATCAACATTTGTACACAATATCAAAAGATTAACATTATCATTTTGAGCTTAAAAAGGAACTTGGGAGAAACAGAAATAATATTTTTTAATCAAAATATTGAAATCTAACTATTTTAAATTATATTTAAATATTTTTAAGACTTGGAACATCAATGTAATCATAAAACTTGAAGTATGCATTTTTAGACTAGTGTTTTAAGGTATTCCATCCTTACAGTTTATATAGAGATTTTAAAAAAAAGTGGCCCATGGGTCTGGGACGTCAAGTTTATGAGGAGACTATGTAATTATCAACCTCTTAAAGCCTGTCAGACCAAAGGTGTTGGAAAGAAAAAATACACAAGAATATTTAAAACTAAAAACATTTTGTAGCCTGTACTTTTAAAAGCTGGTTCACAAAGTGTGATCACACAGTACATTTACAACATGCTCGATAAAATATTGCATACTGATAAAATAACATTCTGTTTCACTGAAAAAAATACCTAAATATGAAAGATAATACATGTATAATAGTGTATAAAATATTGATTACTTTTTGACAGGTACATATAATAGTCATCTTAGCTGTATCACTTATTAAAATTCAACCCCAGGAATGCTGTGTTTTGTATTTTTTGCATATTCTTTACATAAAATGTCAAAACAGTCATTATGCAGGTAAATTTTAGAAACCTAGAGCTTAAAAGTACAATGATATCTATTATATAATTTAATGAATATGTAACATTAGTTTTTACAAAAATATCAAAATGAAATTCCTCAAAATTTGAAGAAATGTGTTTGTCAAACAGGTAAAGGTTTGACAGGGTGTTACAAAATGAGCCTTACAAGAAGTAATTTGAGTAAAAACACACACTTTGACAAACACTTATTTTTACTTAACCAATGTAGTGAATTTAAGCAATGGATTAATAAATTGTTATGGATTATTGAATTAATATTATAGACTGGTGGATTTCACAAGTTTAGTTGTCCTTGGGCAATTGAATGTTTAAGGAAAATACAAACCCCTGTAATCAGACCCAATTTTATATTCCTACATATCCACTGTATATAATAATCCTGATTTCAATTTTAAAGGATTTAATCAAGAGAAGTGATTTTTTTACCATATTATTTTTTTCAAATGTTTCATAATAATTAAAAACAGAGGGAGAAAGCTCTTCAAGGAGAGGTCAAGGTAAGAAATTAGGATTTCCACTCTTGTATCAAGTTGAATACAGATAGTATCAGGTAATAATTGAGAATTGTGTCTAAATACATGAAATATACTAAGTACCCCAGTATTCAACTCCTTCAGATCAACAATTATGTGTGTATAAATTCATTGAACTGAGAGTTTTAAGGATGGAATACCTTAAATAGCACATAAGATAATAATTTTAGCTTAATAAAAATTTTACAGCAATGATGATTTTTTTTGTGAGATCATGGTACATGTATACCTGATGCATTGATAAAACACAAACTTATTTAATTAAACCCAAACAAAAGGCCCTAAAATCTTTCCTACGTGAATGGAATAAATTTCTTATCCACAATTGGGACAGGAACTCTGGACTTGTTACAGTGCTAAAAGAACCTCAATATCTAGAGCCAGAGTTCTTTTTTGTTTACATTTCACAAAATATAAAATTTACAAAATTAAATATACAGGTGTACAGATTAAACAAGAGCCTATAATATGAGCAGATGCAGGTTGAAAAGCACTCAAAATATTGTCATAAAAATGTTGAGAACCACAGCAAATTGATATGGGGCCTTTATAGAAGCAAACACCTTCAATAATTCAATCTCTATCAAGATATTATAGTACATGTTCACTCTAAAATTTGGCTTGAGGATTTTGAAATGATAACCATCTTTGTGAAATATTATACAAAATGATAACAGTTTCATCTTTGAATTGCATTTATAAACTCTTAATGTTCAATAGTTTTCCTATTTAAAACTACTTGTGTTCAATATGATTGCAAAATTGACATCTCAGGGTTTTAAGTACTCTTTGAACCCTTGCATATGGTGTTTATAAACTCTCGACCAATCAGCAATTGTTTTTTGTAAATGACAATTGTGTTCTTTAATCTATTTAAAACGTAAGATAACATGCAGTTCTATGAATAGCTATGGTGTCATCCAATATCTACTAAATATGTGATTAAGAATCTATATTGAAGCTTCAGATTTGTACTATAAATAATCAATAAACATAACTAAATTATTGCTTTTTAATTATTCTTGAAAAAAACTTTGATTTAATTTTTTTTAAAACATTTCTGTCAATGACAAAATTTCAACCGTATGTTCATATAATTTAAAAATATAATAGCAGGTTTTTTTTTAAACTGATGATTGAAGTAAAACACTTCAAAGTTTCAAGTTGTACAAATAATTTAAATATAGCCTGCATAATTTTTCATTTCACATTGCCAAATATGACACTGTGCATAATTCTTTTTAATAAAAAAAAAATGTAATTATATCCAATTAATATGCACATCAATGTAATTAATGGCACTATGACATGAAGATTATGAAAACTAAGAAACATGAATGCGTTAGAGATACGTTAGCACTTACTCTCGAGAACTTCCTAAACTGTTTCTTTTGCTACTTCTTTTATCACTTCTAGCACGTTTTTTATCATTCTCAATGAAGTCCAAGTCTGATTTGCGTTTTGCAGTGGTAATATCACCATTCATTGTCAGAGGCGAGTAATGCGATGAAAATGGCACTGGTATGGTATTATGTTGTGGGGATACTGGTTTAGGGCATTCGATGAGAACTTTGGAGTCTACGATATCGTCATCTATATCCATATCACTATCGCTAACATTCTCCTCATGTTTAATGTCTGAACACAACTCTTTCTCCTTATATTCTGAACACACTGTACTAGGGGAAGTATTGCATTTGACACTTGGTTTTGCTAAAGACAGGTTAAGATGAACAATGATGCTGGGTTTACCATTACTATTGTAAGTTAAACCTGGAATTGAAGGTTTGGGATTTGAATTTTCTGGAACATTAGGAATAGGTGACAAGGGGGGATTGACAGTGATTTGCTCTATAATATTTTTAATATCATCAAAGCTGTGGTTTTTCTTGTCATTATTCTCCTTATTCTCTTTGCTTTGTCGTCTACTCCCTATTTTTGTTTGGTCTCTCCTGTCTTTGGTCTTCACTTTCTTTTCAGTGAAATTGTTTGGAGTCACTCGATTAACAGACCCACCTGTCCCTCTGTCAAAATCTAACTTTTTCGTCACTTCTGACACAGATTCCACACTTTTCCTCAAGATTTCGGGAATGATTTCTTTCCCAGGAGTCACTGATTCTACATCTACCTCCTCATTTTCACTTTGCGATTCATCAGAAGATAAAACTGGCTCACTCTGTCTTTTTCTCCGCACTCGACTCTTAGAATCAGGTGTGGAGGTCTTGAGTTTTTCACTTGATGAAGTCTGATTGCTGATTCTAGATGGAGGGGACTGATGTACACTAGAAATGCTGAATGGTGATTTCTGTTGAGTATGCTTCTGTTTTGTCTGGAACACGGGTGACCAATCATGTCCTCCTGTATGGTCGTCTATATTAGCCAACAGGTCACTGATCACCTGTTCATTGTCTCTTTCTGAAGTGGTTGTATTTGGTTTATCTGACAATTTGGAATTGTCATTGGAACTTGGAAGCTGGGAAATGGGAGATTCCACATTTGTTTTGATGAAGTTACTTAATGCCCATGTGGAACATGTGGAACTTTTCTGGAACAGAACAAAAATTGACAAAAGATTTAATGAGATGTAACCATGAATTTCTGTTTGTTTTCCAATGAAAAAAAAAATTCAGTAAATACATCACAAACACCATAACTTTAAACAATTCTTCAATGCAAATATTACAAGTCAAATCAACTCGAGAAAAAATGCCACCTTGCCATCTTCTTCATGCATATCTTATACTTTTAATGATAAAGATGTGAAAACTCAAGAACACAATCATGAAACTTCAAGTTTAATTCAACAGATTAGTGAACTTCTGCTTATCTAAAAATTGTCGATACTTAGTTGAAACATGACATTCTTGCTGCTGTGTTGGCTATATACTTGGTTTTATTATGTAACTTTCAGCATGAACCCTGGAGCATATCCTGCCACTTACAGATGTATCAAGCCCCTTGTCTGACGTTGATGAATTCTGTTTGGCAGGAGTTGCTTTTTCTTCTTCTTCGTCATCTTCATCGTCATCATCATCATCGTCTTCATTGTCGTCACTTTTATCCTCCTCCTCTGAAGACTGGCTCTCGCTGTCAGATTCATTACTATCATCTTCATCCTCTGATGAACTACTTGAATCTCCAGAGTTCATCCTGAAAATAGGATTAATAATATTACCTTAATATAAATCAAATATCCTTATCCCTGTTTCTGAATGACTGTTTCTTATTGATCCCTACCTGTCACATCAAATTCTCACACAAACAGGAAGTATAAACACAGTTCAATACCATTGATTGATCTACTCTATCACATATCAGTCTGATAACGCTCAGAGAACTAATACTTCTCTGCAGATATTGATTTCTCTAACAATGTGTCTGCACAGTTACAATTTACATGTACTTAAGATGGGTTTAGAGATCTGATATGACCTAAATAAGGTGGAATATATAATTACTAATTAAAAAACACCCCATACATACATAAACACATTCATGATATATGTGTTATGATTGTCATCATGTCTGTTTCAATATTTTGGTTTCTTCTAACAACAAAAATATCAAAACCTGTAAGTTAGATAACACTGTCTAGCATTATCCACCTACAACTTCCATGGATAAGGTGTTAACTTCCAAAGTAAGAAAATTAATTATGCAGTCATTTTAACATTTGATGAGAATGCAGAAGTGATTACCCATTTACCTGTGGGCTACATTTCTCTTTCCAATTGTGTGATTTTCTGAGAGGCTTTAGCCATAATGAATCAATTACTGATGATTTACCAATCCTGCTACAATTATTTTTTTGCAGCAGGCCAGTGTCTGAATCTGGCAATGAAGGTAATCAATAGCAAGTGGAAATACAAATATACCCTCCGTTTACAAGATTATTTACAAGAAACTTAAGATAACGGGATATCTATTCAGTTTTACTGCCATAAAACATTGCAATCCGGAGTCTGCATTCATTAGTATAGAAACCATGTTGTTTTTCTGTGTCTGCTCCGATCAACAAAGTACTTTCTTTACAAGGTTATGCTAGATTAGCTCAGTGACTAAATATATCACATGCATTAAATCCCTTTTCACCAAGATATAATTGCTTGCAATTGCCTGCCATTCTAAAGACAATAAATGAATGCTACCAGTGAGGAATCCACTGTACTAGGTTGCACAAGATAAAACACATAAAGAGAAAGAAAATGAGATAACATTTAGCACCCAAACAAGATCTAGTGACCTAAGAATGAAAACATTACCTGTTGAGAGTTTCTACATTAAAGAAAGCCTCAGTCTGGGTCCACCTGAATTGGGCTGTCGAATCACTAGGTCTGATCTAAACTTAACTCAAAATCTTCTACACTGTAATGGGAGTTGTTTTCTACAGGGTCATAACATCAATCAATTTAGAATAAACTGCAATGCACTGAAGCAAGCTTGCCAACCATGAAACAACTGTTATGCCGAGAGACTGAACAATCAATAGATTTTTTTTATAGCTGTAGATATTATTTCTCATTTGCTTTTGTTATTCTGATCTAATAACCCAGTAGCTGTTCAATTTTTGGCAAAATAATTGCTTCATTCACTTATTCAATAAATATGCATTAAATATAAATACTGGGATTGATTTTAATTTGGAATGTGAATTACCCAAAGTGGTAATAAGAATCAAAAGAATTGCTTGGTTGATCAAGCATTATATAAACTCTATACATCTTCATTCAAAATAAAAATTTAAGAGAGTGATAACCCTTAAAAGTGCATTAAAAAAGCTGGCCTTGAATGACATAAAGCAATAAACATTTACCTATTTAATTCAAAATTGATCATTAAAAAAAATTTAAGTTACCTATATGCACATGAAATCAAGATCAATTAATTCCTGTATTAATCATATAAAACTTTTTTTTCACATGACCATTAACTTTCTGTATTAAACATTTAAAATGAAAAAATCCTGTAAAAAAATATATATCTGTAGTTATCATAAGACGTGCAAGATAATCATTTGATGTCTTGAATACAGCAACTACACCCAATACACCAAAGCTTGAATTACAGACAATTTGCTAGGATTGAAAGTCATTTTAAATGGACCATCAAACTGGCTGCCATTAAACTTAGATAACACCCTCATCCTTATCTCTGACCTGTAAGAACTTCAATAAGTGTTCTAAAATAAATCTTATCTCATTACTAAAACTGCAAGTCATGTTTTAACATTTTTTTGTATGTTTGGATTAGGGAAAAACACTGATTTGATTCCTTTGTTCTGAAGATGAAATTCTATTAATAACAATTTCATGCCCAAGACGAGTAGATGGCAGGGACTAGTTGTTCTGTTACAGACAGTACAGGGTTTGCTGTACCAACGCACTACCACAGATCTGTCAGAACAATTACTCAATAAACACGTCGTACAGAAAACAGAGATCTTCAAAAATTATCCTTAGCTTACACACTGCACATAGTGCAAGTTTACAACACCTGTGAAAACAGTAAACTGACTCACACTAGTTAACACTGAAGAAACCTTCTAAAAGTTTCCAGTTATCTCATTAAACTGTTGTTTAACAACATACAATTAGGTAATGATATTTACCTCTGTTCCTTTGTTGGGGCGTTCGTGCCTGGCCCGCTGACTGACACTGGGGGTGGTTTAGAATCAGTTGTATTCAGAGCTCTCTGCAAAGAAACAAAAAGTCGTCCTGTTGATTTCAAATCTAACAATAAAAATTACATTGTCAAAAGTGAATGCCAATCCATAGTAGAATCCAGACCCACTGCGCGTAGATCTAACAGATCACTCCATTAAGAGGTGATGTCGGTCAATCACAAAATATCAAATTTATGTTTATCTGACATTCCATTGGTAATATCTATGATAATGTTTTGCTATATATCATGTTCAAGTCCATTTACAAACAGGAGTTCTTTTAAAAAACTTCTCAGGTAAAGGTACTTTGACAGAACATTTTTCCGAGTGTAAGGAAAATCAATACCTAATTGTTTACTTGATCACATATTTTTATCGCTAACTTTCCAATCACTGGAGATGAGAGGCTCCATTAATATAAACACAAAATGCAAAACATGCACCATGCTGCATGTATTTAAATGCTTATTTCATACGAAAAATAAACCTAATACCTACAGGAAAATTAAATCCCCAAATTTTAATCTTGAACATCTTATTATACATTTTCCTTCTAATAATGCTTTTACAAAATGCAAAATTTAATCAAAGTGAGCATGTTACAAAAGTGATGAATTCTTGGAACGTTTAGTTAGTAAACCCAGTGCTCACATTTCATTTTCTTTTGATCCTTAACATTTCAATGGCTTGTTTTTGTAAAAAAAAAATCTTTTATTTAAAAAAAAAAGGCATAGACTGTAGAAAAAACCAACAACTTAAATATACATGTATCTAAAATATCTCAACTTCATGTATTTTAATTGGTTGATTAAAATCTTAAGACCACCCCACCCTTCTTTTTGCAAATATATTTCATTTTCCTCCCAAAATTGAGTCAAAGCTGCATTTATCTTTTAACAAACTTCGAAGACTACAACTTCCTTTACATACACTTATTACAAAGAGGAAATCAATTTCTGTTTACAAAAATAATTACTTCTTCAGCTGCATACATCAAAATATGTAATAAATTAAATTAGTGTGTTCTCAGTGATACAGTAGAGTACACTGGTGTTTGTTTTCTCTCTGATTATGGCCACCTGGAGATACAGATCAGGCAATCAGTTCAGACTCCACCTGCCAGTCTTTTATGATGGCTTAAAGGGGGCCATGCTATTTCATGTACACCATCTTGTTGTCAGTTAGCAATATCTGTGTTGAATATAAACAATATATCTATACACATCCACAATCCTCATAATCCTGCAGAACTGGCATCTATTTATGCTCATGAAGAGAAACCAACATGCACAAATGTTTTGCTTTCCTGAGCTAAGTATACCCTAATGTTCTAGTATTAAGTGCTACTGTTTTACCAACCGGAAGATGCTGGATTTAATATTGCACTATTAATCCATGAAGCGTGCTGTTAAACATCTAATTATTTTACTTCCTCAGTGATTTGTTGAAGCTGTTTAAGAAACAAACATGATCAACATTGCAAAACTCAGGCTTATCCAATGAATCCCTACATAAACATGTAAATCTTGCTGTTATGAGCTAGGTTTTAAATGAAGATACTGTTAACGTACTTATTTTAGCTGTATTCATATTTTAGTGGCCTTTACACATAGAAGCTCTGTTGCTTCCAATACAAGTATGCTATGCAGTTGAAGATTGCACTAAATTCTGATTCTGCTAGTTCATGTATGTTTCCAGTGCTATGCTAGAATACTGCTAGTGTTTGGGATACATTAGTGATAGAATGCCAACCTTAACTAGTACTAGTAGGTAAAAATGGACATACTAACCTACTAACTAATTTACCATCCAAAGCCACAATTAGATGTGTATCAAAGTATCACAGAAGATTGATTATCTATGGGGTATCTATGAACATAGACTTTCCTAACTGTGGTTAATAATGGATTATAAAATACAGTAAAACTTATTTAGTATGAACATGGATATTGCGAATTCACCGATATAGCTAAGTTATCTGGGATCCCCAGCTATATACATTTAATGAAATCCTTATATGGATATAATGAATTACGAAAATAGTGAAGTAATTTCACTGGTCCCAATGACTTCATTCTAACCAAGATTTACTGTAATAAGTTCCAGCAAACTATAACAAGTATCAGCTTGGTTATCTATGAATATAACTAATTCATATTTGGTTCGATATCAATGAGAGATTAGTATACCAGATAGTTAAAACTGGATATCATTGTACATTGTATTGTGTTAGCTAACTGACAATTAGTGATGTAAAAATATAGCCAGAGTTAGCTGACATAAAAGGTAAATTCAGTGCTGGCTATGTACACAGAGAGGTTGTACTCTACCTGTCTAGCATTATCTAGGTTACAATAATTGTACACTACTGTTAGATAAGTATCAGAAACAGCATACTTACCACACTTGAGTCTGCTGCCTGCTCTCTTTCTGAACTTCTGAAATGTTAATAACAAAATCAAACACTCTCAATGTTGCAATTTGAAGCAAAATGCTTACAAGTACACAATAATTCCAGCTATGTTTTGGTATAAGCTATCATCATTTGCTGTACAATCACACTTATATAAGGTGACGTTAAACAGATGGTATAATATTAAAATAGTTTTAATTTCTGCTCTATACATATAAATATATACCTAACTTTTAATGAATGTCTACATACAAAGGACCTCATTTTCTATCAAGATGGACAAAATCTCAATGTTTTTTTACATACCTATGCAAAGACCAATGATCTATCACTTAATGGACATCCACCGTAAACAAAATTTCACATAATGTAGATCGTTAAATATTCAAGACACCTAATTTTAATATCCAAGTCCTTTGTTTATTAGTAAGAAAAAAATTCAATCATTCTGGTTATTGCTGAATATAATCCATGAAGAAATGCAAAATTTAAGAGTAAAGGCAGACATTCTCACATAATTACATGAAAATTAAGTTCTCGCAAATTAATGATTGACAGTATTTGATTTAAAGCATAATTTTTTATGAATCATCAATGTACAAAATGATACTCCAATATATTTCTCACTTTAAAAATAGCTTAAAAATGATTTAAATTGAATCATCATTCTTTTGGGGAAAATGAATTGATATTCATTTTTTTTAAAAATGAGTTTTAAAAAATCTAGCCTAAAGCATGCGGCAATAATTTTATTTTAAGATTTATCTTTTGAAGCTTTTATACCTTTCTTTATGACTTTGACATATTAATTTATAATCTAGCAAACATTTTGAAATATTTCTTTTGAATCAACAGAAGTATCGGGAATAAATTTGTTCCTTACAAGGATTTTTAAATCAACAAAGTAAAACATGCAATCAAGAAAAAGGTTTCTTTACCTGAAATTCAATGGATTTGCACAAGGAGAATTCTTAGATCCATCTGTAATGCCATTTCCTAAAAAAAAAAAAAATAATAGCAATAAATTATCTCGACAGGAAAAAACTAATATCATTACAATGCATAACAATAATTAAATTACATTTTTCTTGCCAAAAACAAAACAAAAAAACATCATTTTTCCATTCAAATCTATTTAAATTTTCAATTCAATCTTTGGTATGAACTACTTTGGTAAGATGTTGGATCACTCTAGATCAATCTAGAGTCTGTCGATTCATATTTTAACAAAAAAGTTTATGTAAATGAGGAAGTAATCTCATTAACTAACTATTCCTCTGCATTCACGGATACTGTGATTAGGGTATTTAATTTTCAAAGATCAAACGTTTCCTTCAGATGGAATGGTTACCATCTTACAAGACCGGAAATGTTACATCCATCAATAAATAATTCACCTTAGATTTTGAACAGAGACTATTGATTTTCTGTGACATAAAATACATCACCTGATGGCATGTTTTCCAGAGATGATTGCCATTTTACTTGGTAAAAATCAATGCTTTTACATGTAGGTTAAAACCCATTTTAGATAGCAGTTTTCTCAGACAATTCAAACAATGACATAATTTTCTTATTCATTGTCATTATCTGTTTCATTTGACCTCATGACCTTGGAGTGTGATCTACTTTTGCAAACATTTACCAAACTTTAACTTTGGCTATAACTTTTGAACAGCTAGTGCTAGGGTCTCATACTCATTAGGACATGACCTTTCCAGGAAGGTGTATATTTTTGACCTTTTGACCTGAAAATCAGACCTATTTTTAAATAAAATTTAAACATTAAAGATAAGTTTTGAACATTTTGTACTAGGGCTTTCACATTTCACAGGTATATTCCTTTTGACAAGTTCATCCCTTGGATACCAACAAATTGACCTTTTGACCTTGACCTTGGAGCCTGAACTATTTTGCTACGGCACTAACATTTCACATTAGTATTTCTTATGATTAGGCCTTCCCTTAGGTCCCCTTTAATTTGACTCTTTAACATTTCCTTGGGTATGATTTTTTTTTACCTTGAGTTTGACCCAAATTAAAAAGGTTTAACCCTCAGCATAACTTTTGTGCTTGCCTCTGTATTTTACGGGTATATTCACTAAGACAAGTCCATTTTTTGGGGTAACAACACTTTTTTCATATCTTGACCTTGGAGTTTGATACATTTGAGAAACTTTCAAAATTTGCCAAATGCTGCCATACAGGGGCATCAGTGTTTCATAAACACATCTATTTTTTTTGTGAAATTGATTTTTTAAGGAAATATTGAAAATTTGAATTTTAACATCTTCAGGTTATGGATTATTATACATTTGTATTGATCCATCTTCATATTTTATCAAATAATTTAAACAAACTTACTTTGGATTTTGAATTCAGCTGTTTTGCTTGCACTCTGTAAAATAAAAAGAATTTCAATATGTCCATGAATTACAACATCAATTCTAATTCATAATTCTATTTTTATATAAATGAATTATATTCTTTAAATATTTCTACAAAACTCAATCTTCATCTCAACCTCCTGCATAAACAGTAGAGTACCAGGTCTCAATCTAATATCTCTAGTATAAATCCAAAACATTCCAAAATACAAAACTGACTTTTACTTTTAGTCAATAAAAGCTATATCCTGTTGATTAATCCTTGTAACTGATAATAGCTGCATAGATCCCTGTAGCATATTAACCTTGTGCTGAATAAGTATGTACATGAACTCAATGACATCTGGTCAACAAAATATATTATATAACAAAGTACCCGCTTGAATAAAAATGTCTAAATCATAAAACTTTCATTTTCAATTCTTTTCTTTTTTCATCAGGTTATTTCAAAACCTGTTTAACAGAAATATGTAAATTTAATATCTCTTAATCTCTTCAAACCATTACACTTATTGAATAACCTATGGATATTTAAGAAAAAGCATTTCATAAGGAATACCTTAGTAAAAATGAATACTTTAATACAACTGTATATAAACATGATTTTATTCAATTTTTTTTTTCCTGAGAGGAAAAAATGTCCATAATGTAAGGTGAGGAGAATATAAAATGTCCATAATCTAAGGTGAGGAGAATACACAATACACAAGTGTTGATTATGCATACATCATTACCATAAATTTCTCTAAAAAATTTTGTCAACGCACATATTATATAAAATATTCTTAAAACTAAATTTTGGCATTTTCATGTGCTTATTTTCTTTGAAAAAATATCACAATGAAATTAATAGAAACGGCAACATCATATTAGCATCAGTGGATAAAAGAGACAATGTTCCTGCTATCAGACTCAACTTTATTTAAACATAAAATAAGATTTTTCTGCTTCTATATAGTTTTTCCCTACTACACAGATACTGTGAAGTTATCAGGTTGATGACCTTTGCAGAACTGTACAAAGAAGTCAATTTTAAAACCTTTTAACATAATTCCACACAACCCCTCTTTGTCCTTTGCAATAACCATGGCCATCTGTGACCCCTAACAATTCTCCTCTCTTATACTACTTATTCTTTACTATCTGATGATCAATAACAAATATTATCAACCTTTTTTTTACTTTGTAACACCTTGGTACTCTACATGAAATTTTCATCTCCTTATTTCATTTATATGTTTTGTTTTTAATGACCTACTACCTAGGCATTTGGTTTATTTTACCACTCAAACCAATACCATGATAATATAACATGATATAACATTTTTGATGAAGTTTTCCCGTTATATCACAAATATAATATTTTTATCCATATGCCCTGAAAAACTGCCGAATAACGCCGGATATAGTTATATTCCACCTGAAACAGTTATGTTGCCCTCGCGAACACAGTTATGTTCCCTCACGTGCAATCATTCTCCATATTAAATACGTCGGGTTCGAAATTCACAGATGCAGTTGCTAAGCAAGCGTAAACAGTTCCGCGAAAATTAAAAAGTCGAGACAACGTCGGCGATTTGTTTATTTGAATTCAAAGGAATTAGATAATTTAATTGAGAATTTTTTTTTAAATTACAACAAAGGTTAACAACACATGTATCAGCATACTGAAAACATTCTGCCATGAAACAGGACGGGATATTTCTGAATTATACTCAGCGTACTTGTATACATGGTGTTCAATAAATATGTTCGATGATCGATTTGGGTTCAATGCTTAAAAATGTTATATACCATATATTACATGGCTAAATTCTTGGGCAGAAATACCAGAATATTTGCCCCTTGATGACAGGAAAGCCCTGGAGTGTTATGTCGCTCTCTGCCTTCAGCATAGGGCGACATAACACTCCAGGGCTTTTCTGTCACCTTGGGGCAAATATTCTGGTATGCTGCCCTTGAAGCCATGTAATATATGTATAATACCCAGGGTACTATTCTACAAGTGGTACCTTGCTGCTGGGAGAACTAGTAGGAAATGGGAACTTCTCTTCCTTGCGCGGAGTTTGAATGGCAGTGTGTGGCTGATGCATTTGGGTCATCTCCTGCAAATCAATGTAATAATTTATTATAGGGATTTTACTGTTTCCCAAACAACGATTCCCATACCTTTTTTTTTTTTAATTTAAAATCATGAAAAGTTATAAAGAAACAAAATATGTTAATGTTAATCAACAACACAAAGTGCAGTCTTATTTTGTTATTGCCCTTTAATTAAAGCCTGTTTTTCCATTTTATTATCTATTCCTCATGAAGATCATGACTTAAGATTTATTCCTCTATTGACTCACATAAAGTTTTGCTTTTAAGCTATATTTTAATTCAAAGTCTTATTTACAGTATTACTTTTGGATTAAAGCATACATTTCCATTTTATTGTCTATTCCTCATAAAGATCATGATTTAAGATTTATCCCTATGTTACTCAAATAAAATTTTCTTTTAAGCTATATATCAAAAAAAAATCCATAAGCAAAAATCTCTGGTAAGACTATAGCTCAGCTGATTTGTACAATTGACAAAATTTTAAACAATAGAAACATCAACAAATACAGCTAGATATAGTAATAGTCTGTGGTTAGGGCCCTTTGTGTGTCAAGTTTCATTGTACTTTGGCTTATACTATTATAAGAAGAGTGGCATTTTGAAATAATTTTATAGAATTTTCTATATATTTATAATTTCCATTGCAACCCCATTTATTAAACAAATCAATAAGATATTTATGTTTTTATGCTATTATAAGTTTCTAAATGTGCAGTCTACTTGTGTACATTTTCTTTTTGAAATCAGACTAGAAGCATAACTTTTTAAAGAAAAAAAGAATTCCCTTGAAATTTCTATTTTTAGTTACTATGACAACACCCTTCATGTAAATAAAAAAAAGACTTAGAGAAGTATGTCAAAGTATGGTCTAATTAAAAAATTACCAAATTAAATGGGATAAGAATCAGAATTTAAAATTGTTTATTGACAAACAAACTGATAGACATGGAAAGACAACAAACACATTACTATCACATAGGCTCTTATAGTCTTTGACCAGTAGAGCTTATATAAATACATGAAGTTCCAGCATTGTTTGCAGGCAAACTTTGACAGAAACTTCACAATAGGTTCCCTGAGAGTAAACTTTCTTATCAAAGGCTTGATGACCCTTAGGTCACTTTAGTTTTTTGAGACAATAAAAATCATCATGATAAATAAAAGATTCTAGAAATCTTTCTCTTTTTTGTCGATTTTGATATCATTCTCAACAGAGGACTTCTCATAAAAGGTTTTACCTTTAAAATATCTTCAACACTGTCCACCTCCTGAAAATAACAAGAAGTATGCATGCTTAAGATGTCAATCTGCAACATCCTTGTCAAACCAAAGTAATCAAAATCTTGATAAGCTAAGTTCAAACAATGAGATAATCTGAGATTATCTTCTCTGTAATTTTTGTTAAGATTAAATAATGTCTATAATAACACTGTCTGAATTTTCTGAAATCAAAGTGAAGAAAAAAAATGTAAATCTTTAATCAGTTCCAACAATCATTCAAGGTGAATGATTTCAAAGTTTAGAAAATAATTATTTTGTTCAAAATTGTGACTCCAGCACAGATGAAAAAAAAATCTCCTCTTTTAAATTGTCATGCCTTTAAGAAAATTCCAACTGACATTCCAATTATTTCCCATGAAAAGATAATTAAATATCTAACATTTCTCAATTTTTTTTTTTCTCAAATTACCTGTAAATTATTCATAAGAAATTCATAATCTTGATTACAAACTCACGCATTTTCCCAAACTCTGATAGAAAAACTCAGGAAATTATCTCCAGTAAATGAATCTTTGGTTCTATTATCAGAATATGGTTTCTATTTTTGGATTAAGTTCTTAGAAATATATTTATTATTTTTTTATTCCAGTGTATTTTTATAACTTTTAATTACCTTGTTGATCCTCAGTGGTGGAAGATTATGATGTTTACTTGGCTTTAGAGGAGCAGGAATGCCATTCACAGAGTGGTATTTGTTCTTATTACTTCCCTCCCCTTTCTCCTCACCGCCCTTCCCATTAACTGGGCCGTTCTTTGTGGGGGTGGTCTGTTCCTTTTTTAATGGGCTGGGGGACCGGTGTTCCTTTTTTATGGGATGATGGGGTTTGGGCTGATCTGCTTTCAGGCCATTGGAGGATGAGGAGGGTGGGTGTGCTTTTTTGTCTGATGAGGAGCCAGGATCACGCGATGAAGCTCCACGCTGTTTGTCAAGATAACTCTGATATGTATATGACTTTGCAGGAGCATTTTTAGCTGTATTTTTATCATCCAGTGATCTTTTGGCTCCCTCTGTCTCTTTTGAATGATTAGGTCTAGAGTCTGGTTTCCTATCTGGGAATGACATCCTCTTTTTATCAGGAAGAGGTGTGGCGGGCTGCTGGGTAATGCCTATAGCATCTCGGTAATTCTCCATGTTGCATTTTCCTAATGTCGCCTGAATTCTCTGGGCTATTGGATCAATATTTTTCTACAAATAAAAGTTCAGAGTTAAAACATCATTGCTATTCCCTTCCTTTTAATAAATGCATGGCTTCATTGGCTGCATAAGTAGATTTCTTATTATTTTCATGTTTTATAAATTTTCAAATTCTTGTCCAAGTGTTACACCTACAGATGAATGAATGTACAAGTATATGTGGGTATAATAGTGTTTACCATGTAATTAACTACTTACATACACCGATATAAATAGAAATACACAAGCTGCCATGTCACACACTCATAACAGCTTCACCACACTTACATCATCTAGGTATCCTTTTTACGTTAAAAGTCAGGAAATGATTGCCAAGAATATAGTTTTATTGAAATTTTATAGATTACTCTCCTTTAAACATATGCTTAATATAATGAGATTACAGTCTATTTCTAAACAACTTTTAAGCATTAATTTTTGTCATTAATTATTATTATTAATTTTAATGATTAACAAAATTAATTCCAAAGTCAATATAAAATTTGTTTTTAATTAAGAGAATTGATTTTAAACGCGAAATCTGACAAAAAGACTGAAATATTTTATAGATTTAATCTCTGCTTTATTTTCCTCTTGCAAGTTAATAGGTCAATCATATAGATTATCAACTACCATTCTATAAATAATGCAGCTCATCTTTATCAATGACCAAAATAGACTGTAGCACCAACAATTTTCATAAAAATAGACACTTTTAATGCATTTTATTTGTCGGGTAGAATGATATCGTGTGTTATATTTGGTGGGTAAATGGTACAATGTGTTATATTTGGTGGGTTTATGGCACTTAACTTCTTTTAAAAGGGAAGAGGAAGGTACTAACAACACTTAATACCTGACTGAATAACCCACACATCCTTAAAACTTACTCTATACTATTGTGTCATTAAAATTGGAAAATTTCCATGAGAATATCTCAGGTGTAAGGAAGAGATGACTTAAATAATCTATTACAAAACTGGCAATCAATCAAACACTGACAATACAGGTGCTACACTGGCCTCACTCACAAGTTTCTTAACACAGCTTAAAAGGTAAACAATCTAGGAATACTTTATATACATTGGCTGAAACGCTTTCTCGCTACTGTGATTAAGGATAACAAATTAACTTTTTTAAATAGCCTGTGTGATGCTATGTTCCAGATCAGTCAAGGAATATGGGGAGGATCAATTATTCATTATTTTGTCTGCCACATCAAACATCACATGAATTTTATTTGACCATGGACAAACACACATTTGTATTATAAACAACTTGTATATTATACATTTGTATATTATATTTAATATATGAGAATAGCTCAACTTGCACATCTTGATTAAGACTTTGATTTCTTCAAGAATTTCTTTACCCTGTTTAAGTTCTACTTACAATCATAGGCACTCCCCATATAATTCTGTAAACGATGAAAGATAAGTATATATAGGTCTACTCGTCTATACTATAGAATCAGTTGATTTTATGGTATAGAGGGGTAGACATATATATAAATACGGGTACTTAATTTCGCCATTTACAGAATTACACGGGGAGCGCCTATGCTTGCAATAAAATGTTTCAGGGAAATCTTATTACACATGATGTGGTACCTTTTTGACTGGTTCGGAGAAGAGACAAGTGTTCGTGCTGATTTCATTCTTCCTCTGTCCTTCCATAAATTTGCGGGCTTGATTCTCCCTCTCTCTGCGAGCCTGCTCTTTTTTCCTCTCCATACTACAAGTAAATAAACATTCTAATGAATCGCCATACATTAACTTAGCCTCTGTCTGTTAAGTGTATTAACTTTATTTATTTCAAAATGATAACACTGCTGAGTTGGTTACCAATCAATACTACTACTGGATAAACTCCACATCTGCCAAATGCTGAAGCTTTGCAGAGAAAATGCATTTTCTACTCAATTTCTCACAAACCATCAATCATCAAAATATACAGTGTACATGATATTAAAGATAATGTCTTCTTGCATACGAAGATATAAAAGTAAGTAAAACTATATTCATAATATTATGGCTTGAAGTCATTCCCCTTTCCATATTTTGTTATTAATGACAACAAAATTAATACTGTCTTCACAGATATAATCTACTAAATGAACAGTAAGAGGATCTTCTGGGACTCCATCATTAGTACTTATAAACTATTTCTGCATTCTAAAGAGATCAAGTTAGCTTACAGGGGCTAAAGTGTTAAAACCATAAACATGCTAAAACAAATATGCTCCCAATAAGAGCCAAGGGCACTTAAAAATAATGAAAGAGTCCTTGTTAGATTTACTGATTATGTTACATAAGTAACTGATGGTAAGTGATTTAAAAAAGATATCAATAGCAACACACTGAAGATGTTCAGGTTTTTCTTTTCTGACAAACTTGTGGAAAATCAAATTAATTGAGCTTTTCTCTTACTAATTACAGCTCAGGTTAAATAATCAAACTGAATTGCAAACAATGCTCTTCAAATGATGCAGGGGCATTCAGTTAGGGCTGACCAGACTATAGATGAATCACATTCAAATGGAGAGTTTATCAATAAAATCATTTAAACCTTAATTTGTGTCCTATCTTACAATTTTATTGGTTATCTAAAAACCCATTAACTACTGTTTAAATCATAGTATAAATGTATAATTCCAATCTTCATTTTATTTATTGATTTCCTGTGTTTTGATTGGACGAGAACACGTTCCAGAAAATTTTTACACATCGATAAATTCTTTCAATCAGAACTATTTTCTTGACGACACTACTAGGTTATCGTATAAACAATGAAAGCAGTTATTTCTGGGTCTGTTCTGGCTAAATAATGAATACAAGAAACTTGAAATTTAATTAGGGCTTAAACAAAACTGGCAACATACTAGACTGCCTAACTGATGGACGCCGTGAAAATGTTTATGTCACTGTCCGATCACGAGTGTGAATTTTAAAAATCGCTGTCTCAACGTTCATACGTAGAAAATAAGCTCAGTCTGTATCGTTTTGACAGGGAAAAGAAACGTACCTCAAACTCTTGCCCTATTAGCATCAAATTCATATTTACTTTCTATATCGTTCCTCAATCTTTGAATAAACAAGTGCAAATTGAAGGCGTCGTCGGTCTGCAACTTTCGTTATGAGAGTTGTTGTTTATGTCAACATGGCCATGGTCAAAGACGAACTATTCTGAAGTAAACTCGTAATTACGATATTTGTTGACTTAAACAACATTCGATTAGTTGTTATAAGTTTATTTATCGATTGTTTTGACAATTTAAGCTGAACTCTATCGAAATTCATCTCGATTACGTTCCTTTAGGTAAAATGTATTCCTACGCCGTCCAGAAATAACGGATTGTATGGAGGCCTCAAAAAGAAATAATTTAAATATTTTTAAAAATTCGATATTGGAATTATAAGAATTAAACGTACTTTTTGAAAAATTTATCGATGTGTAAACTCTTGACATTTTACTCACAAACTTAACATAAAAGTGCTTCGCACTTTTATTTAGTTTGTGAGTAAAATTTCAAAAAGAACGTTTAATCCTATAATATATATATTTTAAAAATCATTTTGTTATTGAGTGCTTCTCGTGTTCTTGTATCAGAGCTAGATGTGTTAATGGTAACAGAGATTTGTTTGAAACCATTTGATAGGTATTAATTAAGGTTAATTTTGGACACACAATTCTGTGGAATAATTACTGAAAACAATGACATTATTGGAAAGTTACTTCTATTATAAACAATAGGATAGGAAAAAGGGAGGAGGGGAGGAGAAGGGAGGTGTGTTTGTGTGTGTGGGGTGGGGCTGTGGCATTTCTCCTGTAAGTGAAAAATCACCAGGAAACAGACTCATGGGGCAAATTCAGAAAAAAATGTTATTTCCATGTTGAATGTAGCAATGAATATTCTAATGTCTTCTAATGACACATACACTAGTCATGATGATTTATGAATAATGCTGTTCAGTAAATGCAAACAGATAATATATATGTGAGATATCCCTGCACTACTAAACATTATCTAGCTGTCTTTACACTAGACAATTGCCATCATGCTCCATATATTCAAAGTACTAACATCCTCTTTTTTTTCTTCTCTGCAATAATTATATGATTAATGTCAAACAAACATAGTTTTACTGACCCAGATGACAGTATATTATTCTTTTCACAACTGTCCTTGGAAAATAAGGTAAGATCAGTAGAAGTTCAAGATCTTACCAATCTACACAGAAATATCAAGGCAAAACTCGGAAAGCAATACAGTTACATAAAATACACTTCAAAAGACTAGGAAAAATGGTGGACTTTCATCCTTTAGCAATATGTTTATACTGCACCAATTACAAATTCATCATTATGCTTTTGACAGATTTTTAATTTGTTTGGCAGCATATTTAAAAAACACTAATTCCCACATATTTCCACCTAGCTTTATATATGAAAAGGATTTTTCTATGTATACTGCATACATGTCAAGTTATAACTGATTAATAATATGTTTCATGCTTTGTCATGCAGTTATAATAGTGATGAAAATTGAAGTCTGCATAAAGCTCTTGCTAATACAATTTAAAGTTAAAAAAACCCAAACTTTTCATTATTCATTCAGTTGAAATACTAGTTTTTGTCTTTTTTGCAGTCAACACCACTTTATTTTATTCTAATACATTTTAACTTAATGTAAAACATGCTAATCAAAAATTATACATTACTGAAATTATCATTGGTCAGAACAAATATTTTGATTAAGAAATTTGTGAGCAAATGCTGCTATGTATACTCCTGCTCTGAGACTGATGTGAATTTGGGATGAACAGTATGGAAAGGATGAACAGGAAGTTGACATTGGATTCATACAAAAATAGATCCCCACATGGCATGCCAAAACAAAAAGTATGTGTGCTAACATTTAATGCATCTACTAAGAGAAGTTGCTGAGAAATTGTGACAAAAATCTGTTACAGCAGACAGACACACAAGAATAAAACGTATAAAAAATATACCCTGGCCCTCTATTTCATGGCAGGAGTATTATAATTTTTTTTCCCTAAACGTACAGTTCTATTTCAATGAAAAGTAAATCTTCGAACAGAGAGTGATTATTTTCATTTCAGATATGACCTTGATCCAAGCCATTTTGAAACACATTATTTACACAATTGAACTCCCATCATTTCACCAATAAACTCAGACTAATATGTGGATAGGCTATTGGCTTGTGGTATGCCTGCATTTGGGCATTAAATGTCTGAAATTTATGACCATACAGTGTAGAGTTTACTTGAGTGTAAAGCCACCAAGTCTAATCAACAGTATGATCTGTTTTAGCTGTAGAACTGTAGTGTTATGATTTTTTGTTTTAGTCTTTAACAATAAAAGATAAAAGACTAAAATTAATATAAAACCATAATGTTGGTATATGACTAAAATATATAACCATAATGCTAAAAAATCTGCTGTATCTATCAAAAAAATCTACCGGTACAATTTCCTGGGTCAAGCAATTTGTTTCAAATTTCATTTGCTAGTAAACAAAATATGTTACTGCAACTAAAAGGCTTTATTTCATTGCAAATGATGCAAATAATAAATTTCTAGAATATAAAGAAATTGTAAACCTTAATTCTGTGACGTTCAAATTCTACCCTTCTGAAACCATATCCTTATTATTCTATACAAATATTTTTCACTTCAAATTCTATTTTTGCGCAACTTTGAATGAAAATTTAAAATCTACATGGTGAAACCTATTCATTTTATTCATTGAAACATGACACAAGTTGTTATTTTCAAAATTTTTGACAAAAGTTTGTTTGTATCATCTGTCCTTAATTAGAGTAACAAATTCAATGATTTAATATATGTACTATAAAAATTCTGAATAATTTTTCAAAATCTAAAACAAAATAAGCACCAAACTGTTGAAATCTATGAACTGTTGCAAACTGGGAAAACCCGAGAGAGTTTAGATACAACTCTAAGTAACAGGAGAGAAAATATATGACCCTGTACTGAACAATCTGCTAGATCTTGGCTAATTCATGCAGACTTGGCATTGGTTTCTCACTCCATAGTGTCACAGACAAGTAGAGATAAATGGGAAATAGTGCTACTTTTTCCTTCCCCTTCGTCGACAGATTTTGTTAGTCTACTATGGAATATATAACTTCAGCTTCAGTCTCTTTTTTCTCAAGTATTACATCTGTATTATGGTGTTTTTTTTATAATTTCAAATAAACATGTATGCAGTTCGAATTAGCAGACTTCAGATATGTCTGCTATGCTAAAAAATTACTTCAAATGAAACAAAACTGAAAGAGAATCCAACGTAATGTCTGAAAGTACATAAAATATTCAAAGAAATGTTTGCATATGTTCATGATGTTGGCCATGCTTTACATTGGTATTTTAATTAATCGACAATTAAGTTAAAAGGAATGGTGACTGCTGCTTTTCCCTCACCTGTATTCATTTATCACCAAATATACCTACATTGAATAGATAAACTGACCTAATTTTACAAAAGCATCAAACTACTGAAAAGACCTTGCGTTACTTCTGATTAATGATCCTCAAATGTATTCTACATTGACATTGCACAAAAGTGGGGTAACAAACATTGAGTACATTGAGTACATTATCTCCAACATTAACTGTTTAAATTCCATAATGCAATATTTCAAGGAAGAAAACATAGATGAAAAATATGAGCATTGAATTTATTTTTAAATTACTTTATTTGAAAAGTTACACAAGTGTAATCAATTGTGTGTGTTTGTGTGTCTGTGAGGCTCAAAACAGTACAATTACCAAGCTAGATCACATCATGATTTTTAGCATCACATCAAAACTACTTAGTACATCTGTGTCTTTACCAATGGACTAATTTAGAATCAGTGTAACTCATAAAGATCAATTATGAGTGACATTTGTCCCATATCAGAACCAATATCAGGGTACTAAACAACACCACAAAACCCTGGCAGTTTGTCCCACATCAGGACCACTACAGGACAACACCACAAAACCCTGTATTTGCTCGTTCAACCCATGAAGTGACAATGGTACATAAGTAAGATTTTCAATGTTAAATATTTTAACTGTAACATATCTAAAACAGTAATAAGTAAAAACACTTATAATTTATATGAAAAGGTAGTTTGGAGTTATTAAAATTGTATATCTGACAACACCACAAAACCGTACAATAGGACCATGCTGCTGTGATTTACAGTTTATCCCACATCAGAAACACTAAAGGACAACACCACAAAACCCTGACAGTTTGTCCCACATCAGGACCACTACCTGACAACACCACAAAACCCTGACAGTTTATCCCACATCAGAACCACTACAGGACAACACCACAAAACCCTGACATCCCACATCAGAAACACTATTTGACAACACCACAAAACCCTGACAGTTTGTACAGGACAACACCACAAAACCCTGACAGTTTGTCCCACATCAGAACCACTACAGGACAACACCACAAAACCCTGACAGTTTGTCCCACATCAGAACTACTACAGGACAACAACACAAAAACCTGGCAGTTTGTCCCACATCAGAACCACTATAGGACAACAACACAAAACCCTGACAGTTTGTCCAACATCAGAACCACTACAGAACAACACCACAAAAGTCTGACAGTTTGTCCCACTCAAGACAATGCCACAAAACCCTGACAGTTCCCACATAAGAACCACTACAGGACAACATCACAAAACCCTGACAGTTTGTCCCCACTTCAAGACAATGCCCCATAACCCTAATAGTTTGTCCCACATCAGGACCACTACAGAACAATGCCGCAAAAACTTGACAGTTTGTCCCACATCAGGACAACTACAGGACAACATCATAAAACCCTGACAGTTTGTCCCACTACAAGACAATGCCCCATAACCCTGACAGTTTGTCCCAGGTCAGAACTACTACAGTACAACACCACAAAACCCTGACAGTTTGTCCCACATCAGGACCACTACCTGACAACACCACAAAACCTTGACAGTTTGTCCCACATCAGAACCACTACCTGACAACACCACAAAACCCTGACAGTTTATCCCACATCAGAAACACTACAGGACAACACCACAAAACCCTGACAGTTTATCCCACATCAGGACCACTACCTGACAACACCACAAAACCCTGACAGTTTATCCCACATCAGAACCACTACAGGACAACATCACAAAACCCTGACAGTTTGTCCCACATCAGAACCACTTCAGGGCAAAGCCACAAATCCCTGACAATTCTACAAGCCAACACCACAAAACCCTGACAGTTTGTCCCACATCAGGACCACTACAGGACAACAAAACAACAACAAAAAACCCTGACAGTTTGTCCCACATCAGAACCACTACCTGACAACACCACAAAACCCTGACAGTTTGTCCCACATCAGGACCACTACAGGACAATACCACAAAACCTTGACAGTTTGTCCCACATCAGAACTACTACCTGACAACACCACAAAACCCTGACAGTTTATCCCACATCAGAACCACTACCTGACAACACCACAAAACCCTGACAGTTTGTCCCACATCAGGACCACTACAGGACAACACCACAAAACCCTGACAGTTTATCCCACATCAGAACCACTACCTGACAACACCACAAAACCCTGACAGTTTGTCCCACATCAGGACCACTACAGGACAACACCATAAAACCTTGACAGTTTGTCCCACATCAGAACCACTACAGGATAACACCACAAGTTGTGTGTGTAAGGCTTTCAATTTAGACTTTGTAAACTAAAAGACAGAGTCAAGTGACCTCAACTTAATTAACACTGAAGTATGAATTGATTTAAATATATATGCAATTTAATATGGTTGACAGGTAAAATTGCATTTTTGCAATTATTTGCTGTAAACTAATTTGATTTTGCAAATTTCTCTGTAATGTTATAACTGTTGTTAAAAAATTAAATTATCTTGTTATACATGAATAATAAAAATTGTATGGACACATTGTATAACACCTGAAGTTGCAACAAAAATATTTTACTGAACCATAGTGTTTTGACTGCATGGAATTCTATTGCATAAAGCATTTTAGCTACACATAAATTACATGTATTCCCAGTTAGAGGAACAAAATAGAAAAAACATCACTTTAAACAGCATAAAAATCAAATTTTCATGATACTTTAAGACAAAATTATTCACAAAACTGAATATGGTATTGCTAATAGAAATGTACTTCAAATCAAAGTATTCTTGCACTTATTTCCAGAACAAACTGGTTTGCATATTTAATTTGTAGGATACAATAATAATGCACATATTTTTCATGTTTATGTCTTGTTAAATATCTAATTATACCTAATATTGTTGCAGTTGGTCATGATACAAAAGTGCAAAGAAGTATGCCAAATATGATGGATTGAAATTTTTGGATCCTTGCAAGATTTTTTTACTCATATGAAATACTAGCATATGCCAGAGAAAGGCCTCAAATTTAGACCTTTACTAGACACTTAAGGCTTTGTTGCTGTTAGGGATCTAATCCTGCCAATGCCTACCTTGAAACAAAACCTATATTTTAAGGGTATCATCTGAAAAAACCTGCAATGTCCTCTTTAAAGTGCCAAGCACTTGGCAAAGGAACAGTTGCTACTGCCTGCGTCATGTACATCTTTAGTTATTGACTTTAGGTCTGTCATTCCCAAGGTACAGCCTTTCAGTTTCAATGAATGAGTTAGTGCACTACTGGCCAAGATACCAAGACAATACTTTATTAACTACCAACTCCTACTGAGGCACCTAGTGGCCTAAAGTGTTTTAAACAGATACTTATGTTTTGCAAGCAAATTTCAAGACATTTATTAACTTGTGACAAAATACTTTTTGCTTCAATAACATGTTGCTAACCACTGCCCAAATGTAAGAACCTCCCCAATTCTGAGATAAAGTTATACTTAGAATCCAAACCATGGCTTGAGACAATAACCTTCAATCGATGAAGTCAGAAAGCAAATTGAGGCCTTCTGAAGTTCTTGGAAAGTGATCACAACAATGAACTATGGAATTTATGAAATGTATCGAACCGATCGACATACAAAAATAAGACAGAGGAAGTGGGGCTGGATTGGACACACATTAAGGAAGTCACCATCCAGCATCACACGCCAGGCCCTGACTTGGAACCCACAGCGCAAAAGAAAAAGAGGACGTCCTAGAAACACCTGGAGGCGTGATTCGGAGTCGGAGCTAAAGATGCAGGACATGACCTGGCATGATGCAGCTAGAGCAGCTCAGAATCGTGTTCGTTGGAGGACTGTTGTTGATGGCCTATGTTCCTCACGGAACGACAGGCCTAAATAAGTAAGTAAGTATGTTCCATAATAAAATCAACAAATGCTTGGGGCTATGTTTAGGGAGGGGGTTCAACAATGGTAAAATATCAAATATAGTAGGCAATTTTTTTTTTAACTTTAGGATGGTCTCATTACAACTCTTCCAGAAAAAAATATAATGAGGATTGTATCTTTGAGAATTATAGGGGAGTTTTGATGGGAAAGTTTTCACTGGAGTTTCAGTCATTAGTGTAATATTCAATCTACCTGATAATTCATTAGTCCAGAAGAATGTGTCCGAGGCATGTGTTTGAGCATTAGTAACTGACATCACAGTATCTGTGTCTCTGGGGGTGCACACTTCTTTATCTTGGTCACACTTTTACAGGGGGATGTGTACCGAGAAAAGTGATGCCGAGATCAAACGTTAGCTCATATAAGTTTAATGGCCCTACAGCTGGACAGAGGACCTCATGAGCACATCTTGTTTACTTTTTGTATAGCATCTGCCTTTGTGATTATCTAGAGCAAACTTTTCAACACTTACAAGTTAACTCTGAAATTTTGTGTTACCAAGGCATTTAACTCTAAATTCTCCATTCGTTTTGGAGTTACTTCTTACCTAGTGACTCGACATAAAAGCAGCATTTAATGACTATTTTAAAATATTTGCTGTTACTTATTACACATATCAGTGTTACATGTGCTGAACCACCCAAATTGAAAATTTAAAAAATTGTTTTTTGAATTTCATTGGTAACTAGTTTATATTATTACATAATATATGTACGATATTATGCATGTAAACATTTATAATCAGTTTTGTCTTTAAGCCAGTAAAGTGAAAAGTCGGGTCGGATAGTTCACTTTCTTTGGGATCTGATTTGTTGTCTAGCATATCTGAACAAGGCCATGCAGAGATGTCAAACAGTTCGACGCTCCTTATATGGATGTAGTGCTTTTAGGGATATATTTGTTTATAAACGTACCTGTTCCTTGCGTCCATTGTGATTTCAATAAATTTTATGACTGTTTCCAATATACAGACTTAGGAATATTGAGATAATGTTTGTGACTTCATGTCATTCCACGAAGAAGTGGTCCCAATATGTCTATTTCGTCTACATTATGACACAAGTTCCATGTACGTTTCACAACACAATATCTGTTTAAACTCGATGTTTTGTACAAACAAGTTTTGGTATGAACATTGGAAGTTCCATCAGTCATTCGTAGACGGAGATATGAAAATTTTCACAAAGATAAATATAAATTTCTGGAGTATTCAGCAGTTTTCCTCCATTATTACCCTATTTACAGATGTTCGGAAATAAGGCAAATTCTTCCGCGACGTCAACATAAATATAAAAAGTTTCCTAGAAAATATTTGAGCAGTATTAGTTGTATATGTTGTTTTTCGAAAAATTGTTGATATGTTACTGAACATGAGCAAGTCAACGTTATTATTACTCGGATAATTTTTATAAATTAAAGTACATATCATTTTTATTACATCGGAGTGAGGTCAAAAGGAGTAAAAAGGCTTTCGTACTTCCTCGGATCTGTCCGTCATGCATACGATCTACAAATATACACCGGAAAGCTGCGAGTGTGTACGATTTATAAGTTCCACTAAGGTTTGACAATAAAAACATTAAATTCAAAATATGTTGGATTCAGTAAATATTAGAAAACATAAATATTTTATCATATGCCCATGTACATGTGTGTGTGTTAATTTGTGTGTATGTAACTTTTCTTTCAGAACTTTCTGTCTTTATCTATTCTAGGCCTATCGTAAAAAAAACTTTTAAGCCTTGGAAAATGAAATTATCTTATCTATAAATCCAGAAAAAGCCACGAAAGCCAAGGACTTCATTTCGAGTCCTTTAATATAAGAACTAGTTTTGCGGCTGTCTTAATATCTTAGACATTTTTTTTTTTGAAAAGATGAGTTTGACTACCAATATTCCCTCTACCTGATCCTTATAAAGGGCTCACGAAGGGTGTCGCCGGTCAATATGAGATGCTTAATCCCTCTTCACACCTGATCCCACTTATGGAATACAGTCCATGGCCAGGGGTCCGATTGATAATTAATAATTTGTCATTTAGAAACCCTCATAACACATAATCATAACAGTTAAGGATTTTTTAACATCGATCAATGTTCATAATATTTTCATCTTTTTCAGCCTAAACTATAAAATCTGTATTACTTGTATTTTCCATATTTCCCTCAAGACGTATCTATACGAGTGACTTTTTGAATGGGACGTGTAACAACATAAAATCAATAAATCATTATATATCTATTTTGCTCCGCATAGGGATAGGATAAATTTGGGAAAATGTCAGTTACCATTGTCTAAACCTGAAAATTCTATTTCGTGTGAGGGTGTGTGTGTGTGTTGTGTGTGTGTGTGTGGGGGGGGGGGGGTGTTAGGTTCGAACTTTTTCAGTACCAAATTTTTTTCCCCAAATACTACCACTGCACCTTCTTTGAATACGTGCCAGCTGAAAGTGGGTGGGTGGGGGTGGGGGGCAACCTCCGCCCTGATCTTCAATGCCTGTATTATGTCTATCTTTGCAAAAAAAAAAAGCCCCCCCCCCCCCCCGCCGTTCCGACGCCACGGCATGTGCAACATTTACAATGTTCTCATTTTTTTTTTTATGTAAGATGATTTCTGTAAGATTTTCATTTACTTAGTATTTAAAAGATTGTAAGATGAAACATGTTCACGATGGAATAAGCTATTTACAGCAGATGCTAAAAGGTGCAAATTAGAAATATTTTGTCATTACATTTATCATATTACTTTCAGACCGCCGACCAACCCCTGAGTAAATCAATATCATTATATGAATTCATAGAAAAGAAATAAACCAATAATTTTGCAGAAATATACATGTAGAATCTACTTTTATATCTATTACATAGGCGTCGGAACCGGGGGGGCACTTTTTTTGCAAATATATTACATAATATAGCCAATGAAAATATTGGGTTTTACCTTTTTTGTTGGTTTAGCCCCCTCCCCCTACTTTCAATTTGCTTCCGACGCCTATGTATTAAAACTTAGCTAAGTGAATTATATACAAATGTCAAGTCCTTTTTCGTTTGTACCTTCCTGCAGAAAATTTTATATTATTTTGACTATATACCAACATGGTGATGTCAATAAATTGAATTATATATGTCTAGTGGGTCTTTGCCTTTTTGCCAATAAATATTTGTATTTGTATATTTTGTAGGGCCCGGAAAAGGGGAAAACGATAGCCTAAATGAAACAAAATGAAAAAGATAAGCAAATATATAAAGAAACCAGAGAGACTCCGAGAGAGAAAGAAGTGTCCGGATTTTTAAATTCCCACCATCCACAATTCTACCCACGCCATTTAGAATGAACTATCCCATAATTCCAATAATCATGGCGACTGGTTTTGAAATCGACGATTTGGTGTGGTAAGAAAGCAGTGCCGATTACACTTTCTTTAGCCACACCGATGTTTTTGCTTCTCAAAAATGTTAACATGATAATTTTATTTCTATATTTGCAGGGCAAAGATGAAGGGATTTCCGGCATGGCCGGGAAAGGTAAGCACGAGCACCGACCCTTCTCTGGTTTATCGTTTTGACTTGTTCAGAGTTACCTGCCCATTTGATAGGCACAGCATATTTTTAGTCCAATTTTTGATAATAATTGCATGAAAATTAAGTTGAACCACTACTGATCTTCCATTTGACAACAGTAAATCAACAGAGAAACGTCTGTTTTGAGAAAGTAAGAATATTTTTAGTGTATCAGCGTTGTAAGGGAGGTAATTCAAAACAAATATAACTTTGCCTTGGGAAGAGTTGACACGAAATCTTGATAAGATTTTATAAAGCACACATTTAATAAGGACTTTAAAAAGTTATGATTCAGATTATGTAAGATCTTAAAGTCATAATTTAATTTGTATTGTTGTTGAGGAGAATTGAGTAAAAGTAGTTTTGGTCAATTTTATTTATGGTTGGATTTAGTCCAAAAAATATGACGTTTTCCAGGCATTTTCACGATTTTATTATTTTTTGTGCCAGGAAAATGTCAAAACCTGCACCATTACAAATTCTGGGGTTGATTTTCAATACTTGAGAACCAAATTAAATGTCAAACTCACAACTTATCAACATTACAATACTTTAAATACTTATCAACATCATTTTTATGGATAGGTTTTAAAATAAAGAATCCGTGCATTTTAAAATCTTGCAAGTGCTCTCTCAGTATGTTGAGTGATGTTTTTTGTACTATTAATAAATAGTGAGTTTGACATTTAATTCGGTTAACAAGTGTCAAAAATCAATTGCAATTGGAAGTTGTGAAATTTCCAGTTTTACGATTCTGATGTTTTCCTGACACTTAAATTATCAAAATCATAATATATGCATGTATATATATATATTTTTCAATGTTATATTAATAATATTTACTTCTACATGTATGACTTGATCTTATATTGTGGAAAGGACTTATATAGGAGTGCCTGCTGTCCAATCCAATTATGTTTATTCATAATAAAATACTGTTTAAATTAAAATCAAAATCATAAAAGAGTCTGGAAAACATAAGATTTTTTGGACTAGGTTGTATTATAAACATTTATCAAAACTTCAGCTCCAAAGCTCTTTATCCCACTGAAATATGGGCATACAAGGTGACAAAAATTCCCTGCTAAGAAACAGTTTACATTTCTTAACATTAAAATGTTCTCGATAAATGTCATCTTAATCTTAATACATTAAAAACAATTGAAAAGTGAATTATTTGTTAATAAGTAATTCAACGAAGTAAGGGGAATCAAATGTGTAAAAGTGATTCTATCAACAGTTTTCTTTTTTTTTTAATGCATCTTTTCCTCAAACTTTTGAATTTGATAAAAATTCTATCCTAGATAAGGAAATGTGCTCACTGTGTTCACCTCCATTCTTTTATTTCAACACATTAGATGCTTGCACCAAAAACAAAAAAAAATTAAAACCCTTTATTCCTCTTGTATAGTTGCAAAAACAAATTATGATGAAAATCAAACTAAGATTATCTTCTGAATATTCAAGAAAGTACATAAAAACTAAGGATGCAAGAAAAAAAAAAAGACTATTCTATTTTGATAATGCTCCTCAATGTAAATATCTCTGTTGTTATAACCATTTATCATTTCCATTGATACCCTTCAAAAGAAAAAGTCAACTGCTTTAAAACTACTCATGGTCTTAAGATAAATAAAATTATACCAAAATTGCACCTTTGTAGTAATTATTATACAGTTATTGACTGGGTATGAGGGCAACATATGATTTGTTGGACCTGAAGGTGAAAATGTTGCCCGAGGCCGCAGGCCAAGGGCAACATTTTCACCTTCAGGTCCAACAAATCATATGTTGCCCGAATCCCAGTCTATAACTGTTTTGTTATACCCTTCACTGCTCACTTAAGAGTGATCAATTTAATCAATGCATGCTATATTATCAATTATTTTGTATGGATAATTATGGCTTCTTCAGTAAATGTAACACATCAAGCTGAGAAAGAAAAAAATCCATTTTATATCTATTGTATTGCAAAAATTATTTATCACAAAATATACTCTTCCCTTCTTCCTTACCTAGCTGTTAGACAACTCTTGAAGCTCTTAACTTCGGCTATTTTCGCGTTGCCGATATTTCACGATGATTAATTAATTATGACGTAACAGACGAGTGACGTTGCGGTCTAACAATTCTTATGTAAGACCGGTCAATAGTGAAATTGTTAGACCGACGTAATAAACAGTTCTTTTGTTGGACTTTTTATCAGTAATAAATAAATAGAATGATATTTATAAGGGTATAACAAATATGTTTATTGGTTTTATTTTGTAATATTTTGAGTAGTCAGTATGCATTAAATGAAATTATTTTATAGAATTGTAAATGATCATATAATTTTAAAATTTGCTTAGCACTGTTAAAATCATTGTGGAGTTAAGTTCAGTTTAACTTTATAAAAATCCTCTTAAAATTTATAATAATTGAAGTATCATTAACAAAATATAATCATATTTTAAAATAATGATATTTACCTTTATAGATTATAGAGCCAAAACCTGAAGTGAAGAAGCCTGCTAATAACAAGAAAGTGCACCACTTTGTCTTTTTCTTCGGGTCTGAAAACTAGTGAGTATGGCCATAGTATAACATTGTCATTTGGCTTCTTAAAATCTCTGGTGTGTCTTCAGTTCCATATGGTAAAAGTATTGCCTTAAACACTGTACCAACTATGCTCTTTATCAGGTTATGTGGAAGAAAAATTGATGCACTATTGGCTAAATGTGGATATTAACACATGTTAATTGGGCAATTTAGTTTCAAACTTATTACACGTGAGGGGTATTTCCACAAAGCTATTTTATAGATAACTAAATAAAAACATAATAAAGGATTTGGAACACTAGGGGGGTATATTTATGCAAAATCTCTCAGATTGCAGTGTAAATTAGTGTAAATTACCCCATACCTATAAATTTTCACATATAGTGATATACAGATGAACCAGTGTTTCATACTACACTACATGTATAAGGAAAAACACTACAATTCCTATAAATAAAGGGGGGAAAAAATTGGATAACGTAACTTTTTCAAATAGCAAATATGTAGCATAATTTTGTTTGTATAAGTAATGTACTCAAAGTCAACATTTTATAAAGTGCATGCTTGATGGCTCAAACTCTGATTTTAGTATCAATTTTATGGCTATGTCGAAGTTGGGCACTAGGCCTGATTTTTTCCCAAATTATCATCCAGCCTTTGAACCTCCCTGTTTTTGTTTTCTTTTTTTTTTAAGTTTGATTTGTGAAGAATTTTGCAAGTCAAGATATATATTAAACCTTCCTTAAATTTTATTCTTGAAAAATGGAAATCAACCGATTTTATCAGATATTGAAAAATTATGTTTACTTAAAGAATATACCAAGTGTATTAATTTGTCCCATGTTTTGATTAACACAAAAGGAAACTCCAGAGACCCTATGTTATTGGATTCACTTTTCATAATGATATACTTTGACATTAAACAATCATCATAAAATAGGAAGTTCGATATTTCATCTGGCCTTAGTTTAATATATAGCTATTTTCTTTTAGTGCTTGGATTCCAGAAGAAAATGTCTACTTGTATAGTGACCACAGAGACAAGTTCAAGCTCTCAAAAAGAATTCCTAAAGGATTCAAGGAAGCCCTGGAAGCAATAGAAGATGAATTAAAGGAAAAACCATTTATTGTAAGCAGACTGTACTGTTTATTTTTAGCTCTACTGGTCCAAGACCAGAAGAGCTTATGTGACAGTAAAGTTGTCCGTCGTCTGTCCTTCTGTTCATAAACAATTTTTATGATGTCGAGCAGAGCTCAATCGTCATCTGGTTTTAAAATGCTATTCCTCCTACAGTTTTGGTCTGATTTGAGTATAACATGGCACACAAGTTGACTACACTAAAATACATAATTCTTTATATCGGATTTTGATTTTGCCAAATGGTGTTGCCATGGTTACAAAAAATAAAAATTTCCCTGAAATATTTTCCAAAGCTACTCCTCCAACAATTTTGGTCTGATTTCAGTATAATTTGGCACATAAGTTGATTGCAATAAGATACATAATTCTGTTTATTGAATTTTGATTTCAATGATCGGTGTTGTTGTGGTTACTAAAAATAGAAATTTTAATTAATTTTTATGGCGTCGAGCTTTAGCTCGATGCACATCTAGCTATGAGGAAATCTCTGACTGCTCACTGCTTTCTTCATGCGCCAAATAATATGTACTCGAACCAAGACCTTCATGTATCCGGCGTAGGAATATACATGCCAATTTTTGTGTTTATTCCATAAATTGCTTGAAAATCATACAGTTTCAACAGTTCTGTAGATAGTTGCCAACTCACCCACTTTCGTCGGGTTACTTTTTGACCCGTAACCTGATTATTTTTATGACATGGCGGGTCATGCTTATCGCCTGATTTCCGGATTTGGTTTGTAAATTAGGTTGTACTTTTAACTTCCAGTTACAACCCAAGCTTGATCAGCGTAAACAATGCCGATGGCTATGTGCAGTAGGCCAGTAAATTATCAGTGCAGGTGCAAACAACTGGGATTGTTCTGACAAATCAAAATTTAAATGGCTTCTGATAGAGCAAGATTGTTATCAGGACCAGCAGGAACAAATTGAACAAAGAGAAAAAGAAACGATAGTTATGTATATGTCAAGGAATCTCGGAAAACAACTTTCATTACATAAAATAAAGTGATCGAAGGCAGTGTAGATCTTACTGTAAATTTAGTACACATTGCACAAGTTAATTAAATTAATTAGGCCTAAGAGAGAGGAAAAGTAATTTCAAACCCCCTAAAATTGGAATTTCAAGTTTAGCACCAGGGACCTATATACTAACCCCTGCACAAGTAACACTATAAAAGCAGGGGTTAGAGTCCGAAGAATCTCGGATTAATGAGTTGAATGTTTTTATTTCATAAATGCTCAAATCGGGGTATTTTATCTACAACTAAGCTATATAATTCTATAGATATATGCATACTTTTAAACAAGCTTTGAAATCCAGTAATTTCACAGTATCAATGCCATATCTAAAGCGCGGCGCCATTGTGGCCCTTCAGGCCTTTGATTTTTTTGTTTTTTGTGGACAGCATGTTTTTGATTCTCAACTTTTGTTTGTCCACAATTTTTGTTATATTTAGGTTTATTAAGTGAAAAAAGGTTAGAGTGAAATAAAAAATCAATCAAATGAGAGAAACGATGACATATGCTTTTAAAACATATAAAAGACCAAGTGTTTCTTCAAATTCTGGTAGTTCAACTAGAGCTGAAAATATTCATTTATTCTTCTCTTGATTTCGTTTATAGTATTTTTATTTATCATATTTATATTTTGTGATCTTCAGAAAACATTTAAGACACAAGAATTGCCATCCATTGATGAAGAATTGGCCCAGATCTTCCCAGGAAAACCATCAGCAGGTCCTCAGAAAGATTACACAAGAGAACCATTGAAAGGCAAAAAGGTATCACATGGTCTCAAGTATTTTTATTCCATTTTCAGTGGCATAATATATCTTAGTTAGAATAATCTAACTGTATCTCAGGACAAGCCAGTTAGAATACGTCCCATATACTTGCCATGTAGCAAATTGAAGCGGATCTGATCTGAAATGATTTTGAAGAAAGAAAAGGAGTTGCTCTGAAAATAACTACCAAATTAACCAAAACAAACTTTTTCTGAGATTGTATATGCCTTTTATTCTAAAAAAAAAAATCTATATAAAGACCAAAATTCAAATAATTTTCTTTACAGTTTTTTCTCACTTCAAATTTACCTGTCAAGTTTTCATTTGAAACTCTGGATTCAATAAAAAGTAAAACGCAAACTTCATTTCCAAAATAATCCTACAAATGGATTTCCCATTCAAATTATTTAATATTTTTTGCATAGAAACTATTTTAAACATGGTTGATTATTCCATGAGAAGACACATATAATCATGAACATTTCAGAAACTTTCTCTTTTTTCATGTCCTTAATAATTAATAATAATAAATTAATAATCCTGAATTGAGACCCAGACTCAACAAAATTAACTCTTTTCCCCTTAGACCTTTCCCTCCTTTACCCCTTAATGACGACTTTTGACGCCTAGCCCCCAAACCTTAATAACGACTTTTGACGCACGTGTATTTCATTGTTGATTTGATTTGAAATTACTGCTTGTTTACAAATTATCAGAGCACAGGTGGCCACCTGCAGGTTAACAATAGATGATTGCATCATACTTCAGTTAGAAATCACGTGATTTACCTAAGTAAACAAACAATACAATCTTGGAAAGTCCCACCAAAATTCAAAATGGCAGACTGTTACATACGATGTTTTTTAAGCATACGAGGGGCGTTCAATAAATAATGTCATTGGGGTCAATACACACGCTTTTTTGATTTAGTCTCCATGATTTTACTTATTAATCTATTGAAATTCAAACACATATAACATTTTTTATCCATTTTTGTTGTTTTTAAAAGTTTTTGGGTAACCCTTCATGGAAAATGGCAGATCCAATGATTTCCTGGATATGTGTAATAGGAAATAGAAACAAGTCAAAAGGTCAAAGATCTGGCAAAAATTGTTAATGTGAAAAATATTAACTGTCTGTTTATCCCGTAAACCCCTTTATTCTTTAGGACATGCGGATTTAAACGCTGTCGTGAAAAAATTCAATGTAGTGGATTCCTGATTCTGGGTCCTTTCTCTAATAAACTTTTCGATTTCTTTGCAAAAAAAAACTGCTTTCTAGACACCTCCAGATATTAAACTGTCTCTCCGAATGCGAATTTGAACAATAATACCACTAATATTTAAGAAAATTGTATATAAAATTGTTTTTGTGCTCTTGCATAAATATCGCCGATTTTATTTTTATGGTAAATTTTGTTTTAATGGTTTTAAGCAATAGATCCATGTTCCAATATCTGTTTGAATATAAAACAAACGTGGATTATTACAATTACTGATATTTTAAAATAATTGTTAAGACTTTTGTACACGCTGTCGTTTTCACTATTTTTTCAAAATACAGGATGGCCTTAGAGTACCAAGCTTAATTATTGTCAAACTTTTTTAAAAAACAGTGTAAACTACTCCCGATATGATGTCTATCAAATTTGATATGTGTCTGAAAGTCAATTCTACATCATCAAATATTATTTGTTGAAATTTGGAAAACAGTACATAAGTTGTTATAATTTTTATACAGACAATTTTGATGCCCATTATATAATTTTTTATCTTTGAATACCACCTGCTAATTTGTCTATAAAACAGGCATCGGTTGCTGTAAATGTCACATATTTCAGTGAATATTTCTTTGGGATTTTTAACAAGTTTTACAGCACCTTTAATGTTGCTTTTATTTTCACTCTAGTTTATTACTCTTTTTCATTTATAATGCAAAATTCCAGCTTCTCACGATAAAACTATGTGATGGAAAGTGGTCACATAAACTGTTATAAATTCATCAAAGATTCAATAATGAGAAAAAGTCAAACTTTATGTCATATGACTACTATGTTGTCTGTAATCGAGCTAATGACATTACTTATTGAACGCCCCTCGTATAACTCAGTCAATACACATTATTTTCTTATCCAGTAAAGTATTACATGAAATTCAAGCTATAAACTACCTATTTGTTGAAAGGTTTGAAAATTATAATGATCTATATGTGTAATATACTCCAAGTTAAGATACGAAAATTTTGTGAAGTTCGGGACCGCACAGTGCCAACTTCGTTACCTGTTTCTCATAAATTCAGAAGACACCTTCCATTTTACACATATTTATGAATGTTAAGGTGTAGAAAATAATTATTTTAATAGAATTGGATCATTAAAGTATCTAAAAACGTCCAGGAATCAAGTTTTAGCACGCAAGTCTGAAAATTTGTCTGCGAGATTGACATTGAACTTATAAAATTGATAATAAATAATAATTTAACCATCAATTATATCATCAGACATATTTTTTATTATTTATACAGACAATTTTGGCTTATTAAAGCCGTTTACATTATGAAAATATCTGTTTTGCTATTTACACCTGCTTTCACCTGAATTATTTTTTTATAGAAAATTCCAATCGAAATTATGTAAATAGATTTGAAAAATTTAATTTATTATGAATCCAGTGATATACAGTGAAACTTGTATTAAGCAGTCACCTACGGGATCCATCAAAAGTGACCTTTATAGAGAGGTGACCTTTGAAAATAGGTTCATCTTTTTAAAAAAAGAATTTATTTACAAATTTAATGTGTCAGTTTTGTGTTTATATTATGTTTTTCACCTCAAAATATACAAGAAAGTTAGGTATTGGACATTATTGATCTCACTTAGTTTATTATTTTTTTTAATTTAGGAGATGCATTACTTTTATGGATGAATTCAAACTAAATTTAATGAATCCAAGAAAATTAATAATAAAATACCTGTATACTGAATCTCACACTTACAGGGTGTTGCATAAATTATCCCCCATCAAAACAATTTTTTTTCTTTGTGTAAGGAATGAATAAAATTAGTTAAAAATTATTTTATCTAATTCATAAAATTAACCTTGTATATGTATTTTTTTAAATACATGTACACAACTGTACATGATTTGTTGTATAATAAACTCTCAGACGTAAGGATCAACAGGTGCACAGGTGTCCTGAACATTTTGTCACTAATCCCTGACCATCGTTTCAATTGTGAAATTCACAACATACCCAAGCCACAAAGTGTATATAAACTGCAATTATGTCTTCAACAAATGATGCAAATTTCCTAGGTGTGAAAATTTTAAAATGCCTATCAAGCGTATTACATTTACAACTTTCTGATCATGCAGAGTTGGGCGCGATATCGACACTGTAAATGGTAAACAAAAATATCATAGTCATTAATAGATTAATGTAGTTCATATGTTGTTCTTTTTTAAACTTAATTATAAGACCCTGATAATCAGTTATCGATAATACTAGCATGACTAGTATTCGTTTTTCTCATGTAATTTTTTCGTCATAAGCATAGTTCGAGTTTTGTAAAATATAGAAGCAGTTGCTAGTTTGTAAAATGATTCTTGAATATGCTTATCAAGTAAAATAATTGCTCCATTTATTAATTTTTATTACCTCCCCAACACTTGACTGATTATTTACATTAGTAACAAAAATTGGGAATCAGCTGACTCCAGATCAGGTCACGTGATTGGACAAAATGGCCGCTAAAGACAGGGAAAAGTGGCGATTTCGTTGGAAATTAGGTTGAACAGGTGACCATAAAAACAACAAAATTTAAAATACTGCATAGGACAAGTGACCGCTGGATGGAGGTGACCGCTATGACAAGTTTGACTGTATATTAATGCATAGCATAGATGAAATATTTTAACCCTTATTAGTTCAGTTTTAAACTGCACTATAATTCATATAAAATGCTCTAAGGGGCAGCCAGGCAAACACTCAAGGATATGGCCAGTGCATCAAATCGTGGCATTAAGGGGTAAAGAGTTAATGAATACTGTATGTGCACTGTATGTGTACCCGACACACAGTATGATCAGAAATGTGCTTTGCTCTTTTTATTTCAAATTACTTGGCTTACCTACATAAGTAGAGTTAAACTGTTATGGGAAGGAGGGGATGATGTAATGCTTATCGACTTGGACAAGTGGTCACTTAACACTTTTTTGGATACCCTGGCAGAAGCTGCTGAATGGTGTATAAAGGTTGGATGTTTTCTTTCATTTAATTATTTCTTATTTTACTAGAAAAAGAAAACAGAAGAGGGAAAAGAAACCAATAAGGTAGGTAGAAATCATTTATATATATTAAACTACTGAGACTGTATTCAAGTTTAAAGTATAATAAAATTTCAAAAACGTAGATACATTTCTTTTAAACAAAAAAGTGTGAACCCATGGGTTTTGGATCACAAAGGAAACAAGTTTATAAATTTAAAGCATTTATTCTTTTCATGATAGATACCACAATTTTGATATTGAGCCATTAACATTCAATATACTCTCTCAATTTTTGAAAGCAAACCTCATTTGCTTTGAGGTTTCCAGAATTTTTTTCCTACAAATGTAAAAGCACCTATATTCACTAAAAAAAAAGTGATGTTACAGTTTTTTAAAAGGAATTAAGTATATCAAAGTAGAAAGAGTTTAGATTTCTGCTACTTAGGCCATGGGCAAATTGAATATTGAGACCTCCACATGGTTGAAGAAGAAATTTCATTTTATAGTCTACAGAGACACAGACAAAGAGGAAGAGAGCCTCAGGGTCAGAAGAACACCCTAAACCAAAGAAAGCAAAAGTCATCGCCAAAGTGACAGGTTCCCCCAGCAAAATCACCCTGTCCCCCGATCACAAACTGAAACCCAAAATCAGAGCAGAGCTACCATCTCCAAGGGTAGGAGTTTTTACTTAATTTTTGCTTCATTGTAGAGTTCATCTGAATAAATTTTTTTATGCATGCTTAAGAACATGAAAATCAATTTGCTACAGCTCTATTATGTTCACCCATACTTACATGTCTCATGGAATTTCTGAGTTTTGTTGGACCATATATTTGTAAAGTAGCAAAATCATTTCCATGAATTGTGAATTTTAATTGATCATGTTTAATTTCTTGTATCAATTGATAAATGAAAATTTCAAAGATTATGATAAAATGTTGGTAATAAGTAACATTATTTTTTCCCTAAAATAAAAAAAAATTCAGAATGAAAACTAACTGCCATGAAATGCTCAGAATGCAGTATTTTGCACCATTTACTTCAGAGCCTCTGGGGGCCTAGGGGGCCCTCAGGCTCCTGACTAATTGGGTTATCTATAAGTCTGCTTTTTTCATTTGACTTTAAAATCATGTCTGCAAGAGACAAGTGACACTCTCCACTTGCCCTTATTGTTTCTTTAAGTAGACATATCTTTTCATGTCCATAAGAAAATAAAAAAAGGCTAACAGTTACTTCAGGGGTGGACCATTTCTGTTGAATTAGTAATCTGTCAAAACAACTTACTTTAAGTCTTGGAGCTTGTTTTACAAAATAACATGACTAAAACCAAAAATTAATTCTGCTTGTTACTTTCTAATTTTTGTTAAATTGAAAATGGATTTAATCGTTTTAAACGGAATTTAGGAAGATATTTCAATGCTCGCAATTTTAAACTAAAACAGAATGATTAATTTTGCAAAAATCAACAAAAATTTTTGGTCACAGTCATATTAATGGGTTCTTTTGTAAAACAGTTCCCGGAATTCTATTTCTCTATGACTTTATTAAACTGTTTCATATTCAAGTTATATACATTTATATACTAAAGCCAATAGTGCCATAATTATATTGATCATTATGATCAATCTCCCACATACCTATGGGGGAAAATATCTACATTCTGTATAGTACAAATATCTTTGTTCTGTGTGCAATAGATGGCGAAATGGATTGAAAATGACATGATTTCTTCTTTTATCAGCCTGAGCACAATCTTCCAATGTCACCACCGAGCAACAGTTACATTCAGGCCTCCTTATCACCAGGCAACGCCACAGCCTCCACACAGATCGAAGAAACCCTCCTCAAGGTCAAACCAGTCGCCAAACCCTCAGTCATACCAACGCCCATGCGTATTGGATTTCTGGGACTGGGAATCATGGGTCAGGGCATGGTCATGAACCTTCTTAGGTCAGGTCATGAGGTCACAGTGTGGAATCGGACAGCACTTAAGGTAGGTATCATTTTTTTTTTTAATGATTTGGGGGGGGGGGGGGGGGGGGTTATGGAATTACAAGTACATGTACTGGTAAAATGAAAAAAAAACTTATATTTTTATTTTAAACCGTGATCATAGTGATTCTTTTATGATTCATTCCCTTTTTATTCTGTTTAAGTCAGCTAAGAAAACAAATTGGAAGAAAGGAATTTAGCCATTGATATCATATACTACCTGTTAAATGTATTTTAATTTAACATCAATATGTAAGGGATATAACTCTATATATCTTAATCAGTGAAGAAATTATATAATGGGGAAGAACTGATATTTATTAATCCATTTGCATAATTTTGATGGAGGAAGGAAACTATCTCTATAATGATACCTTGTATAGGAAGTAAGCTACTGGTACAGCAAGCTTATAAACTGCTTAATTTAAATATGATTTATAAAAAAGAGTAACCATCATTTAAATAAAAATTATGTGTAATTCCTTCTAGAATTCTTATATAATTCAGGCTGTATTTAAAGACTTGAGAGTACGTTTATTTCTAACAAAAGTACATGTACAATTAGTATTAGCTTTCTTAAAAAAAATATTAACAAAACTTGTCTGACGTGAGCAAATCAATTACTGGTTTTATGAGAATTAAGAAAAGTTAGATCCAGCTTAATGAGCATAAATCTGAGTTCAAAATCAAGGAAATTTGAATCCAGTGTCATCAAAATTAAATGAGACTTGGACTTGAATTTGAAACTAATAACTAACAAGTTAGTATTCATGAAGAGTTAAATTTTGAAGGCAGAGAATATTCTTTGAAAATGAGTATCCTGTTGTTAATCTGCTAAAGGTATTTGACAAATGTTGACCAGACCAGCTTCATTCCTGCTGTATTACTGGACATAAATAAACTTTAAAAAATAAATTATATATTTGGAAATATAATAACAAAACATTCATGTGAAATAGATAAAGGTACCTTGGCTACACTTGTTGCTTTGAGGGAATACTACATTCTGTTCTCAATAGAATAAACATCTCTCATGTTATGGTATACTGGTGAATAATTAGTGGTAAAACCAGGGCAGAATCTGATTATTTTGGACCAGAATGGTGTTTTAAAGTACACCATGTCTCAACAATGTAGAGTCCCCTTCAACTGAACATAGGTATTGAAATTATGCACATTATTTCAAATAGAAATACATGAAAATCTTCATTTTCTTCATCATTTTGATTATAGTTATAAAGTACAAGAGAGATTGTTTAATTCAGGAATGAATTTAATGGCTAACCAAGTTATACTGAGGTCTGAGACAGTTGATGGTTTATGAAATGATCTTGATTTTCTCACTTTAATGGACAATGGTAAATCTATTAATTGTCATAAGTCAAGTCTTATTGAAAAATGGCAAAAATACAAACCCTAAGGTAAAAGATAAAGTTTACCAACAGTTGTCATCTAAAATACTGAGAAATAACCTAAAGGGTAAACTAAATCAAAAGAGGTCTGGTATACTCTGGATAATGCTAAATTTAAAATGATTAACAGTGGAAGTAAACCTGAGTATTTACTGATAACAAGATTTATTATTTTTTGTAACATATTTATTTCTCTGAATACAACAAAAATGGGTGATTTATGATCCACAAACACTCCAGACCCGACTAGAAGAATCTCAGTACATGTATGAACACTTGTAATAAAAACAATAGGTTATAATAAATACAATAGTTACTCAAATATGCTCGTATAACTTAAGCTCGAAGTTTCAAAGTCTACTGTCCTGACATAATATTTTATTTATATTTAAATATTTTCTGATAATCAGGAAGATTTTCACCATCATTTGGATTCCAGAACTCTTAAGGATGTGAACAAGATTTGGAATTCCCCATATGATAAACAAGATGAATGACAATTAAAACTATTTCAATGATATTAGTGAGAAAAAAAACATGTTTTGATATTTTGTAGAGAAAAACACATATAACAGTCATTGACTTTACACTGAACTTTGAGCTAAATCTTGACTTTCTTCATCATTGTCAATATCAGCACCAAGTTGAATTATATCTTGAGTGTGATTCAATGTCTGACCTGAATCAACTGAGGGCCGTATTAAGGAGAGTCCTCCACCTGAATTACTGTCTGGCAGTGTTACTGAGAGGCTGTCTTCAGGGTCCTCCTCAGTTACAGATATTGTTATGGAGAGCCCATCTGGAGTATCATTGGCAATGGCATCATGGACAATGAAGACCCTGTTGTCTGTGTTCATATGCTGCTCACTTGGGTCAGAGCCGTGTAAGCTTTCTTGGCTAGCGTGAGTTGATGTATTGTTTGAACTTGCAGTGACATACTCGCCTGAGCTTAATGACCTGGACTCGGGCGTGCAGAGAATATCTTCTGGCTCAAACAGCATAGACTCGGTTCTCACACACTCGCTGTCGATGATTGTTCGACAGTTATCAATGTTCAGTGTGTCCAGCAGGTTGATCATGTGTTTTTGTTTGAGTTTGTACTTCTTATGCAGTTTACCTAGTCGAAGAGACCCGTATTCTCTCACCTTTAGTAACTGAGTGTTGTAGGTATCGCGTAATTGATGCAGTTGTTGAGAGCTGTATTCACGGAGTTTGCGTTGCTTGATCTGATATTTGTCTCGTATAATGTCCACGCGATGTGTTGTTCCCTCTCTGATGTGAGATGCTCCTTCACGAAATCTGGTCATTTGAGTATTGTAATTTTCGCGAAGCTTAGTCATGCGATTATGATATGTTTCTCTTATCCTTGCGACTTGAGCATAGTAATTGTCTCGGAGAGATGATAGTTTGTTTGTCTTGTATTGGTCAAAATTCTCCAGAAACTGCATTATGGCCTCCCTTCTGCGTTGACTGATGCATTTTCTTGCAGCAGCGGCAATAAACACATAAATTAAGTTGAGCATGAAGAATGAGGCAGAACAACCTAGTCCAACAAATAAACTAAATATTTTAACTTCCATGAGCACTTGATAGTCCAGCCTCAGTAGAATTTGTGATGTACTTCTGTTCTGGGGGGACTCCACAATGCACTTATAGGGACCTGAATCAATGCGCAAGACATAGTCAATGTACAGGGATCCATCCTCAAGGACAACAACTCTGTCAGGGTGTTCTTCAAGTTCTGAAAAATATTCATTTGTGTAGTGCCAGTAGTGGTCCTTGTGAAATGACCCGTTCTGTTGTACATCAGTTAGAGTTGGATAATTCCACTTGGCCAGTGGGTGGGAGTTGTAGAATACGAGCTGAACGTTTCTTGGGGTGATCCAGGTTATTCTAGGGGGAGGATCTCCTTGATGCGGGCAGACTAACCTTGCTGAAGATCCAATAAGGGAGTCCACCCTCGAGTTAACATGTTGTAGACTTGTTTCTGGACAATAGAGACTATCCTGTTGTATGAGAGGCTTGGAGACACTTGATCCATTAAGAGTACATGTCAAGTCACTTGAATTGGTAAAAGTGATAGAAGAGTCATTGGCCTGAAGTATTTTACTGATCCATTCAATGTGGCAGTCGCAGACGAGTGAGTTGCCGGAGATATCTACAGTTAGGATGTTTGACTTTGGCGGGAATGCAGGTTCTGCGAGGGTTGATATGTTGTTGTGACTCAGGTCAAGGTTCACCAAGCTTTTCATGCCACTGAAGAGTTCTTCAGAGATGTATGATAGGCGTGGGTTATTCTTCATCTCTAAATTCTGTAGGTCCTGAAGTCCACTGAAGGCCCTTCTACTGAGATGGTACAAGTGGGGCATATTGCTCAAGGATAATGTATGTAAGTGAGGCAAGGAGTGAAAGACGGGGTCTTGAATTGTTGCTATGTTGTTTTTATCTAGTGAAAGCACGTGTAACATTGGCAATGATTGAAAACTTTTTTCAGATAGATCACTTATGTTATTTCCATCCAAGTAAAGCTCTTTCAAATTTGGCAATATGTGGAATGTACAGTTTTCCAGAGAGGCAATATTATTTTCACTGAGATCTATAATATCTAGCTGACTAGAGTTAACAGACAACCTAAGGTCGTAACAGTTTTTAAACACGTTCTTTTTAAGGTAGATTTTTCTTAGCTTGGAGAGACTTTCCAGTGAGAGTGGGCTGTCCCAGGGTGCCGAAGTGTTACTCAAATCAAGTATCTCCAAGTCTGTCAAATTTTCAAAAACTTGAGTTGACACATTTTGAAAAGGATTGTTGCTCACATTGAAGTAAGTTAATTTGGATAAATGAAAGTGACTAGCATTGAGATCCTGAATACTATTTCCTGAGATATCCAGCCATGTTAATACCAAATTGCGGAAGTCTGGAAAATTTGTTAATTTGTTGCTGTGTAAGTTTAGCCGTTGTAGATTTGGCAGGGAAGTGAAGTCACTGATAGTGTCTGTGATGTCATTGTCACTAACATCCAGCACTTGTAGACCTGGAAACAGGGGCAACCCTCTAAGGTCAGTGAGGTCGTTACCTTGGAGAAGTAGAACCGAGACATTATGTGGTAGATTCGGTGGTATTATTGACAGTCCCCTGTTAGAACAGTTTACTGTTACATGATATGTATAATCACAGTCACATACGGTTGGACAAATCTCCTGGCCGCTAATTTGGAAAATGGCAATAGTGAGCAAAATAAGGAATTTTCTTGTTACCATCCTTGGTAGACACCTTGGGGAAGGTGGGGGGTTAAATTCTCATACTCGGGAGAGCAGAAAAATACATTTCTACGATCCCTTTGGCGTGATCAGTTTCATGATTCAAATCTGAAAAATACAAAAAAAAATGTCAATTACAATGTCCTGATAAAAATAGTACAAAAACATCGGTTTCCATGAATCTGTTTTAAAAGAAAAAAATTTGTCTGACAAGAACAAAATAGTGAAGTTCTGGCACCTCAGAGCTATAAATGCTTGCTAACCACAGGAAATGGACAATGTTAAATCCTTATTGGTGACATCTACAATGAGTTTGTTGGTAAAGTGTTATTTTTTTGTTTTTATGTACCATCATATAAATTGTATAACACACCCAGTGTACATTGATCAACCAATTATCAGTACAATATTGACTGACAGATAAACAATACCGAGTGACACACAAGTTCACAGTTGGACTTACTGATAAGTGTCTGACAACAACAAAATATCACATATCAAAAAGAAAACAAATTTGGTGTTAATGAAATAATATAAATGCCATGGAGACAAAACTAACTTGACAATGCAGTAATTTTGAAACACCAGAAGATCCCTTTGTAGTAGTGGGAATTAAGGGATGAACTGGAGGGGTGCCTTCTGAGGTTGCTTTGTTGGACAGAAGCAAACAAAGGGAGGAAGTTGATCACAAAGTGAAATTTGACCTTGTATAAGCATTGTGTTCATCTCTAACTGTCACTGATAGACACACACTTATCTGAGTCTCAAGTTAATGACCCATTTACCATTAACTGATATACATCGCAGTAAACCCACTGCTCTTATACTTGAAATATTTATAACAATGGCCTCCATCTTACAGATGTAAGTTCTCATAAAAGTTTTAATCTGTGCAAGAAGTAACCATAAAATTTTGATGTGGTTTTGAGAGCAGCTGTTGACCTTTTGCTATTCATAACCATAAGAGGATGCGGTTAGTGTCCACAGTGGCTTAGACTGACATCTGTGTGGACATTGATGTCAACCATTCATTCTCCTTAGCATATTATACTAATAATATATAAGTTTCTCCATGATAAAATTATGAGCAGACAGCCACCATTAATTATGTAAGCTCATCATGGTCAGGGAATTTTTCCATTTTGCCTGCTTCAATTATGTATGAGGATGCAATGCTCATAGACTAATACTATTGACAGAGAATCAATACTCTTGTTTGGATAAGTTAAAGCTTCAGAAACAATTCTCCTTGTAATGTCAAGATCATCACTTGGCAGTGATTTACAAGGTTTTATGTAAAATAAGCCTGCTAGAGAGCTGAGGTAATTGAGCTTCTTTCCTTTGTACCTATAATGGTCTTTGAGCTCTCCCCATAGTCAATTGTTTAAACATATGGTTTCCATGAAGAGCTGCATGGTTGTACAGGGCTTGCTCATTAACGACTTGCCTTGAGGAAAATAGTGAGAAATATCTGTACTTACTGTTTTTTTACGAGGTCCTTGTAGATTTTAATCCTTGCCATAAATACCATTGATGATTCAGACAGTGCATTGTTTATAGAGTAGATAAAGCGAATATATACATCACCTTTCTTAGTTCACATGACCTATAGAACATCATTGAAATGATATGGAATCAGGCTAGCTTGTCAAGCCAGACAAGCTGTTGAATATTCATTTATTTCTCCAGAACAATGCTTTAATGATTTCCTTACCTTTCATACACAGTAGTTTGTCCTACAATGAAAATCCAGTGTGTGTGATATGCTCTCACGTTTCATTTCCTGGTGAACTAGGGTAAACATATGTCTCACTTACCAATAATACAATAGTTACTAACTGTTACCCACTGTTGACTTAAAGTTGCAGGGAAGCAAACAGTACCCATACTTACAAATGAACTTAATGAAGGACTCCTAGTTTACTCCTTATTGATTTATAGCAGCCATCTCTCCACAGAACATCGACCTTGCACTTGCATGCTGTCAGCTGCTGATGGGAAGTGGATGAGTCCACTTAGCTCGGAGGGAGGTACAGGATTGTATTCAGTGATCTGTGTTGTACCTTCTAATGACAGATTATAGCCCCAGGGGGATATTCTGTTTTTAGCTGACAAAATCACACTTCTTAGATATATGTACATAATATCTGTCTAATGCTGTAATTAAGAAACAAGACATTTACATTTTTTTTTCACTGGAGAATGCACTTTTTATGCAAACAGGAAATTTAAAAAATATTTCATTATAATAAAAAATATATTGTTTAATTTTGTGGTATATATTTGTTTAAAATTCATCTAATGCTAAATGCTTAATGTTGAATTTAACAACTTATATTATGCTTAAGATATCATCAGTCTTTAAATATGGGGAGGGGGTATGAATTTTCCATGACATTGTATATACAGAGCTCAATAGACCCTTTATGGTACAGGGTCCTTTTTAAGGGGAATTTTTGAGCGAAAAACATGTACATAATAATGTCCCATATGAAGTATTACTGTGAAAAAGAGATACTTTAGAGGTTTTGTCCCTATTCACATCTCTGTGAATCATTAAAACCTCAAAATTCAAGTTTTTCTTAATATAAAAAGCACTGAAAATTTTATTTGATTGTCATTTGGAAATATTTACCTGAATTTTAAGGGGGGGCTCAATTTAGACAGGGTCCTTTTACAGGACCTGGATGCAGGGGTTATTAAGCCGTGACTTTATTAAGGAAAAGAATCAAATGGAAGACGGCAAATGCAGGGTCCTTTCTCTTTGAGAAATTGCACTTCAAATATAAAAATATGGATAGTTAAAAATTTGTTTTCTTTTAGTGCAGAGATTTTGTGAAGTCGGGGGCATTCAAGGGGAATAATCCTGCTGAGGTCGTCCAGTCATGTGACATCACCTTCTCCTGTGTTGCCGACTCCACGGCTGTCAAAGATGTAAGATTTCCCAGAAGTTTAATTTTCACTCCAGCAGCTTCAAAACACTACATATCAGCTGAGTACCTAAAGAGGATTTGATAGAAGTGTTAAGATTTTCTTTAGATAAGAGTACATTTAATACTGTAGTCAAGCATGAATGGTTGAAACATTTTATTTTGTCTCAAAAATTGTCGAACAGATTTCATCTTTAAGATTAATAGAGAGAGAGAGAGAGAGAGAGAGAGATGTTATGTTGTAGAAAATAAATTAGGAATTTTTAATACATAATTTGAACCATTTGTATCATGTCCATTGCTAATGTTTACACTATATGAGCTGCATTTGAATGATAAACAGGGAAATTGAAACCAGGAAAACACACAAAAGTTAAGATCTGTCAACAAAATAAAAATAAACTTACAGTGTAGCAAAAGTTTGTAATGTCATGTGATATGTGTAAGTGCATGTGTTTGAAGGGAAAATACCAGGCCTGAGGGCTGTCCAAGAAAAAAAATGAACATTGTATATACATGTACTCCATATAATTTTTGTTCAATAGACATTAATTTTATTGGGGGGGGTGAATAAAAAAGATTTGATAGTATGGTCTTTAGCTGAAGTGTGCACTACATTCTTTTTAGTTTATCAAAGGAAATAAGCATTTTCTTCACAACCGTTGCACATACTGAAATGAAATTTGGTATATAGATTTATCAGATGAAGAAGGCCAAGTTCTGTTATGTATGCCATTTTTTACAGAGTTATGCCCTTTGGACTTAGAAAAAATCCAATTATAATCTAAGCATTTGTCCTTAGGAGATATGAGTGGACATATATAGTTAAAGATAATTAACCAATTAAGTGTGGGAAGTTGGTAATCTCTATGTGTTTGTTTAGTTAACAGAAGGAAAGATCTCTGTAATTCTCTTAATTGTAATTTATTGCTTGTCAAAACATTTACATGTATTTACCAGCCTTTTTATGAATTTCAAAGAAGGTAGGATAGTGCTTTGCTGCTGTCTGTTGGTCCATTTAATTAAATTAAAAAAAAAACTAAGTCTTTTAAATTTTGAATTTCATAATCCTAAAAAATGTAAAAATATAGTTGTATCCTTATTCAAAAAATGTTACATTAAGTAAAAACTTATTTTTTCATATTCATATACTTTACAGCAATCTGTAACAAATGTTAATGTTTTGAGAGGAATTCAGTTTGTCCCATGGGCATAATTATCAAGCACTGGTCAAGAAGAATTTTGATAGCAGAAATTTGCAGGTCAAATTAGAGAGAAATTAATGAGTTTATTGTCAGGAGCTAATTGGTAGTCTAAAGCAAGAGCATCTCTAGATCTAATCTTAATTTATCTCTTGGGAGTTGGGTAAAAAGAAATGGCCTCATAGTTGCATGTGTTAATTAAGAGTTCTTGATGGCTATAGTTCAGATAAAGATCTTTCAACTGGTGTAGTGTAATTAAAACAAATTGATGTTTTAGTGTATGATTCAAACTAAATTATTACACATATAACTGCCCTCCTTTGAAGGAGGGAGGGCATATTGCTCTGCTGCTGTCCTTTTGCATATCAGTCACAAAAACTGAAATGAAATTTGATATACAGATATATGACATGAAAATCTAGATCAACTTCTGTTTTTTGAGAAAAGAGTTATGTTCCTTAGACTTAGAAAAATGTTATTTGCAGTTTCTGTTCATTTTCAATGCACCGTTGCACATACTGAAATGAAATTTGGTATACAAGTGTATCAGATAAATATTTTGGTCAAGTTCTGTTTTGTGCACCATTTTTGACAGAGTTATGCCCCTTGGACTTTGAAAAAATTTCAAATTATTTGCAGTTTCCTTTCATTTTCTTTGCAGAGGTTGCACATACTGAAATGAAATTTAGTATACAGATTTATCAGATAAATAAAGATCGTATTTTTGACAGAGTTATGCCCTTTGGACTTGTAAAAATTCCAATTTGATGAGAGGGGGGCATAAGTGTTTTACAAACATCTCTTGTTAGTTTATCAAAGGAAATAAGCATAGTTGCATATTCTTATATGAATGTGAAGAAAATATGTATGATGATATTTAGCTACCGGTATTATGTATATTTATAGTGAATACCAATTAATGTTCTAGAGTAATATTTTTTTTAGTTGGTGTTTGGTAATTGTCCAAAGGAAATTAAGATTCAACCATAGATGAGGAAACCATGCAAGACGTGGCAGAGGTAAGTTATACCGAGCTTTACGTTAATCAGACACATAACCTTTACCTCCCTTACACATATCATACAAAAAGGGTTTATGTTGGGAATGAATGCCAATTTTTTCTTCTTTTATGATATAATGTCCTTAGAAAAATTTGATAATTTCAATGAACAGCAAAGATAATTACTGTAGACTAAGCATTATCTTCTACACACTCAATAAGCGATGTTCCTTTAACATGTTCAGTTCAACCTCATTATCTCATATTTCCTGGTGCAGAGCTGTATTTACATTGAGATGAAAAATTTTCTTCTATACATCCATGGTATACCTCTGTTTGATATATCAATATTCAAGATTCAGAAGTTCAACTGTATATACTAAATAAATTTTCGCTTATACCAATCCAATTTTGCTGGTATCCATTTTCTTAATATCGTATATCAACTTTCCTTTATATATTGTATCATCTTATTGTCTTGTGTATCTATTATTTCAGACCAGAAAATAATGAGAAACTGAGACAGTGAAAAGTAATTTATGATCATACGTCATTTCTTTGTAATAAAAGTGGAAATTATATTGCTTACGTTGCCTTCACATTTCTAATTATTTTTAGCAGGATATGGGAATGCTCCAATGATTTAGAAGTGCATATTTTATCAGACTTAGCATTTGTTGTCATGGTCATTTTAATGTAGTGCAAGAACAAGTTACCTGTTGTTAAACTTACCATGAGTTTACATGTAAGGAATAATTTGATGAACCTTTGAATAGAGATAGGGGTATTTTATGGGAATTATGTAAACATGACATTGCATTGATGAAGTGAATGTGATAAATAAAAATGGAAATTATATTAACAGCTGGTCACATTGCCATTATGTTTTAACTCTTGATTTTATGGTTTATAATGTTAAACATAGGCAATAACAGCACATGGTGATGTGTTCTTAGAATCACCTGTAATTAATATTTATTTATATAACATTTTTAGATAAGTTTCCTATTATGTCACAAATGTAATAAGTTTCGCTATAAACCCTGAAATGCTTAATCACACCTGAAACAGTTATATAACATTTTTGAAAAAGGTTACCCATTATATCACAAATATAATATTTTTATCCACTACCTGTTATATTTTACCGGAAACAGTTATACAGTTATGTTCCCTCCCGTGCAATCATGCATATTAAAACGTCGGGGAACATACAGTTGCTAAGCAAACGTTAAACAGTTCCGCAAAAATTGAAAAGTCGGGACAATGTCTGCGATTTGTTTATTTGAATTCAGAGGAATTAGATATTTAATTGAGGAGAAAAAATTCTCAAATACAACAAAGGTTATCAACACAACATATGAAAACACTACATTTTGATCAACGTACATGTGTACAATGTTGATAAAGAAATAGTTCAATGTTTAAAAATGTTATATATATATAACTTTCGGGCAGCAGTATTTGCCCCTCGGTGACAGGAAAGCCCTGGAGTGTTATGTTCTGTTGCATCAAAAATTTTATGATTTTCACATTCACATGTTACTGTACACATTTTAGTTCGGGTTCGAGATTTTATTAAGCAAAAGAATCAAGAAAGCATTTTTTGGATTATTTGTGTAAATTTTAACAATTTTAAATGATGTAAAAAAAAAAAAATTAATTCCAAAAATGTTATATAACATATACCACATGGCTTCTCGGCAACTATACCAGAATATTTGCCCCTCAGTGACAGGAAAGCCCTGGAGTGTTACATGTATGCCACCCTCTGCCTTCGGCATCTGATGACATAACAAAAAGGGAAGCTGGTTAATCAACAGAATTTATAAGACATGGTCACCAATGTTATGCATCTTCATTATGTTATGACTTTATGGTTACTAGTAATAATGACAAACGTAGGCAAATGATGTATTGTAGGCAATAACAGCGCAAGGTAATGTGATTTTAGAATCACCTGTAATTAATATTATGACATATTTTAGGCAATAACAGCACGAGGTGGAGTGTTTTTGGAGTCCCCTGTAGTTGGAAGTCGAGTTCCTGCTTTAGAGGGACAGCTCATAATCTTAGCAGCGGGAGAAAGAAAGCTATACGATGAATGCTACTCCTGTTTTGAAGCCATTGGAAAGAAATCTCTTTATTTAGGTCTGTTAAAAAATGTCATGCATCTGATAAAATGTTAGAAATCTATAAAGATATAAATAAAGTAAGAGTTACCTTTCTTTCCATTCATTCACCAAATAAATGTTTTCTTATACAAAGAAATAAGAGTTATCTTTCTTTGTGTGTTATCCCTGATGTTTTGAATTTGGTATTGTCTGTAAACAGGGGCGGACATTGGAGCTGCCACCAGGATGAAGCTGATTGTTAACATGGTGATGGGGACGGTGGTAGCGGGACTAGCGGAGGCGATGGCGATGGCGGAGAAAGTGGGTCTGGATCAGGAGGACGTGGCGGAGGTCCTGTCTGTGGGGGCCCTGTCCTGTCCCACCGTCATTCACAAAAGTCAAGGTCAGCAATACCCAGTCATCAGTAAAAAACTGTTATATAATAGGGATTGGGATGATTCTTCATTGATATTTAAAATGGCTATTCTACTAAAATATTTGCCCGTTTATTCATGTATCTAAAGGGATACTTTATGAAATGTTATGTGTATTTTTTAAGCCCAAGAAGTTGATTCTCACACAGATTATATGTTGCATGATTGATCACTTAAACAATGTACATTTTAGCATTGTGGTTCATGAGCCTCTTGTTAAAATTGCTAAATGGAGGCATATGAGTGTTTAAAAATTTGTTGATTTCTCTGTTTTCAGCCATCCTTAGCCAACGATATGATCCTCATTTCCCACTACAACACCAACAGAAAGATCTGAGACTAGCACTGCTGTTAGGAGATAAAGTAGAACAGCCACTGTATGTGGCTTCCTCAGCTAACGAGGTAAAATAATAAAGAGATAGCAAATTGATTTCGTGTTCAGTAAAACACTAAAAGCAAATTGATTTCATGTTCAGTAAAACGCTAAAAATTGACAACATTTACAACTTTCATGACAAAATTTTTAAGATCTAAAAATTTCAAATACTATAAGAAAATGTCAGTTATTAATGAACTGACATGTTTAGCTCACCTGAGCTGAAAGCTAAAGTGAACTTTTCTGATCACCTGTTGTCTAGCGTCTGTCTCTAAACTTTTGACATTATCAACTTCTTAAGAACCACTTGGACAATTTTAACCAAAATTGGTACAAAGCATTCTTGGGTGAAGGGGAGATGAAATTGTTTAAGAAGGCCAAGCTCCCTTCCAAGGGGGAGATAATCCAGAAAATGCAAAAATATGGTGGTGTTATTAAAAAATCTTCTCAAGAACCACTGAGCCAGAAAGTATAAAACTTGTATGAAAGCATCGTGGGGTAGTATAGATTCTAAATTGTTGAAATCTTGAATCCCGCGAGAAGGGGGTGGCCACAAAAATCAGAAAAATCTGATGAAGAACTGTAATGCTCAATGTATTCATGTGAGGAATATGGCGCATGGGATTCTTGTTCTTATTATATTTGAAATTTTTGATCATAAGAAACTTTATTTATCTCATACGTGTTGGTGATACAGGCCGTTGGATAAACTTATGCTTTATCAACGGGTAGATGCTTTATCAATAGCACTTCCGATTTCGACACGATCCCTCGCCTCAAGATTTTATTTTGTTGAAACTTTTATTTGTAAAACGTCACTTTTAAAATGAAACTTGTATGAAAGCATCATGGGGTAGTATAGATTCTAAATTGTTGAAATCTTGACTCCTGTGAGTAGGGGGTGGCCACAAAAATCAGGAAAATCTGGTGAAGAACTGTAATGCTCAATATACTCAGGTGAGCAATATGGTGCATGGGATTCTTGTTCTTATTATATTGGAAATTTTTGATCATAAGAAACTTTATTTCTCCAAATTAAGATTTTGTTTTTAATACTTTTCTGAACATTTTTATTAGTTATTATACTTAAACGACAATGGTTGAAAGCCGATTTAATATACATGTATATACTTTAACAAATTCATTATATGAATGTAAAAAGTTATGAATTCTGCAAAATATAATTTCACAGGTTCCCAGGACTTCAGTGTAACTCTGTTTTACTGCATAGTGCATTAGTTTATGAATAATTTTATTTTCATGAATTTTCTTGTATTCTTCAGCTATACAAGAAGGCTCGAAGACTTGGGTATGGGGAGAGTGATATTTCTGCTGTTTACCGCGCCTCCAGTAACTGAGTGTAGAGAGAGAGAGACTTGTGAAAGTGATTCGCTGGGCATGACTGTAACACGTGTGACTTAACTGTGCAATGACCCTGGTGATTAAACCTCTAGACGCACCAATAACAGTATTGAGAATAGGTGAAAAGTGCAAAAAATTTATTCTTCTATGAAGAAACTTAATCACTACCAATGTCATTACACTGAGATTCACATCATTTTACTGGACGTTAACGCGCCGAGGGGGACCATGTGATCTCGCCACAGATACAGTGATGTTTTAGACAGTTTTACAAAGTTGTGTAGTAAACTTTTAATTAGATACTTCTGTTGAGTAATAATCATTATTAGTTCATTTTATATAAAAAGTTCATTTTATAGAGTATGATGAGATCTTTTCTTCTGTTTTAAAGATATTTGTCTTAAGAAAGCATAGAAAGTTTGTGTAATATATGAGGTGCCATCTGCATGCATTCATGATAAGATATTTGATGCAGAAATTATGTTAAATTTTTGTCATCAATGTTAAAGTCAGTTTATTTTAGTTGTATTTTCCTACATTTCTCCCTTTGTATGTGGCATTTTTTCATCCAGATCTAAATTTATGGCAGCTATGGGCTTGAATCTAATGTGCTGTGTTGGTTTCTATATTTGTTTTCATCAGCTGGTAGAATTTCATCAAATGAGCGACCAAAATTAATTGTAATGGGCAGTACATTGGAACTTATCTGACAAGGAACTGTCAGTATTTTATTTGCTTTGTTTAGTGTATCATGTTGAACAAAATAGTGAATGTGTGGTTTGAATAATGTAGAATTTAAAAAAAAAATGTTTGTGTGATTGCAGTTTGTAGAAAAACCCTGAGATATGTATTATATACATGTTATCTTTTTGATTGTAAATCATGGAGTACAGAGACATAACCAGATAGATACTGGGAGCTTTGTTTAGAACTGTATTCGTATTTGAATCATGTTTATGCTGAGTTCTGTACATAGACACTTCTTGATGTTGTATATCAAAAAATCATAAACCTAAAAAAAATTTCATGTATTCATCCACTGCATCCATTCATTAAAAACCTCATTAAAATGATTAAAATGATGACAAGCTGTTTGAAATAATTCATTCTTTTTTGTATTTTGTCAAGAATAGAATGCTAGAAGACTGAGATTCATTTCCATCCAGCAAAGGGATGTAGGTGGATGTGTGGGGGTTAATGCCATTAGAATTAATTGGTGTTTTGTACAAGTATTAAATGGATGATGGATCATTTGTAGACAGATATAGACATCAGTTTTAATATATACATAAAAAAAGTTTTAATATTAGATGTACTTTATTGACAGAATCTGTTTTCATGGAGAAAACAAGATTGCCAATTTTATTTTTTATTTTTTTGGTTGAAAGGAAAGTGACACATAAGGTCTTCATGAGGAAAGTAGAAATTGCTGAAAGTGTATATTCCTTAAGAACCCTCTCTACACTGCACACTAAAGAGTTCTAATTATGTTCCCCAAACGAAGTTGGGGAACATATTGTTTTTACTCTGTTTCTTATTAAGGTCTTCCATCTTCACGGAAGACCTTATAGTGATTCTACTGTTTCTTATTATTATTCTTTTTTTGACCAAAATTTTGTGCAGGCGATTTCTCGAGAACTATTCAGCCGTTTTCAATGAAATTTTCAGGAATTATGCGTCATTATATGAATTTTATATAAAATTCCGCTTTTTGGAAAATTCGCTTCGGGTGCCAAGTTATGGACAATTTCCTGATTTTAAAATGCAATTTTGTCGCCCCTTTTTATCGAAAATGACTAAAGATATGAAGTGGAGACTTATTGGAGACGATAGTTTGTGACTTTCTGGTTTACAGAATCACCTTTTCGTGCGTCTTCAATACTTCCGCTCGTTACAATATGCAAATTTAAAAAATCGTATTTTCTAACTTTTTTGTTTTTCCATATTTTTCATTCATTTTTGGTATGTTAATAGAAATCTTTCTTATAATAATCACTATATAATTTGTTTGAATATTGATAAATCGAATCTCTAGATATTAGCATTTAAAAATTTGAAGCGGGTCCAAGATGGCGGCTTTCTCTGTCAACTCCGACATTTCGCAATAGGGGTATACGGAGTCAGACGAGCGTTTGCTTGAACGAAAGTAAGACAAGGAAAAATAAAATGTAAAGGAATACTTGGATTGTCACGTCGTATTTACGTTGCTATTAAGTTCTTCTTAAATGTCTTCTATAATTGGTTTTGGCTGGTTCTCAAAGTAGAAAAAGAAAAGACTAAATGTGAAAATGAAATTCGATACCTAATACCGGTACCTTCCGATTTGCAACACGTAAAAACAGATCTTAAATCATAGTTATGAGTGATAGTTTTTCTAGAAACAATATCAATGAATATAGTATGTATAAAAATTACAATCTGTTTTTCCCATGCACACTTGTGTCATATGACAATAATAAAAAAGACAAAATAAGATAACAGTTTTTTAAAAAGATCGCTAAATGAAGTTTATATTAACATTCTTGTCTCAAAGATCTGATTCAAGTTATTGAGCATAAATGGTATCCGATTCATTGACTGTCTTCGGGCGACACACGTTTTTCGGCAAAGCATTACAACCTTTTCATGAAAGCTTAGCTAATCGGGATAGTTCATATAGGGGAAAAACAGGAAATTTTAAAAAGTTAAAAATGCATATACTGTTTCACTGCTTTAGTGTTACTTGCAATAACATGAAAGAACTATATGCGGTATATTGCATATGTTTGCCCCCACAAAAGTCAAATTTTGAAAACTTCCTGAAATGTGCTGAATTCAATAAATTGTATCAGAAATATAAGTCAACAGAAAATATTATAGTTCCAAAACAGTGTATTCACAATTTCTGTTTTTATGACGTCACAAACTAGTCCGATTTTATATCCTTTTCCAGAAAGAGGACAAAATGGACAAAATTTCAACAATTTAAGCTTTAAAATTTATAGAGTGCATGTGTGTTCAGGAACAATATTGACATATTTCATTGATATTATCATTCTACACATTATATCAAAATATTTATCCTGAACACACATGTGCTCGGTGACTTTTATTTAAAATATCGACGAAATATGTACATTTTTCTGCAAAATTCATAAAAAAAAACTTAAATTTACGTCATTACGTACATATGACGTCATTATTTATGAAATTATTCTGTGCTTTGAAGTCAGCATATACTCCCCTGTTTAAGGACTTAATTAAATATTACTCCATCAAAGTTTGATTTTGGGGGGCAAATGTTGGTTAATACCGCATATAGTTCTTTGTAAAATGTGTTAATTATACTGTCTTCACCTTGATATTTTAGATATAAGAACGTTCTTTTTTTTCTTTCCATTGAAGCTATCCCACCTATTAAATGGAACATTTCAAAGAAAAGGTGCAAAGATTTACTCATGGCGTTTGACGCAAAATTAAGAACAGTGATTCGCCTTTCATTATTCTAAGACATATGTACTGTTGCAGAAGTATACATATACAATTACATTTAGAGCTGTGGTCCCAATAGCGTAAAAGTAAGCGCATTGCATTTCCACGCTGGCAATTCGGGTTTAATCCCATTTGTTTCCATAAGAAGTTTGATCACTTTTTTTCAGCTCGATTTTGCGGAGTTTTTTTTCAGAATCAGACGGAAGACCTCTCGTTGCTCGCAACGAGTTTCTTTCTAGTTATTATTATTTTTCTTCTTGGGAAAATTTTGTCCGCGAATGATCTTGTAAAGTACACATCCGATTAAGGGGAAACCTTTTTAGGATAAGTAGGCATGTTATGTAGATTTGCGGAACGAAGGTCATTTTGCGCGTACGTGCTTGCAAGAGCGCGCACGTGCAACACGTGAAATGACCAATATACTTGAAATTGCCGTAACTTTTACATTTTTTGACGTAATGCTTTGATATTTAGAATAAATAGACATATTATAAATGTAGATAAGATGACATTGTCAACATGCCATTTTGCGCGCACGTCATACATGTTAACCTACTGTGATGAAAAAGAGGGAGATTCAGATCTCAAAAGCGGTAGCATTGCGCGCGTGTTGTTTAACGCTTGGATTATCGATATCTTTCTTGTAATATACATGTATATTATATGAAATCAGGTACCTACACTAATTAATCTTAAATATCAACAGCAAAGAAGAAGGCAGAAACAACTTAGGTTTGACATAAATTGTACAAATTCAAATATTTTTCATGCTCATCATTTTGCTTGGTCTACTTAAAAGCCTTTTGAAGAGTGATCTTTGCTGAAATAGCCTAGAAGCAATAATTCTGAATGTTCATTCAGTTTTTAAACAAAACAAATGATGGCATGGTTTAATCTAGATCTAAAACAAGTTCGTATCTTTCGTTCTATAAATCAGATTTCCTGCGATGATCGAAAACGAAAGTAGAAATGTGCCACATGGCTTGGTCAATCGAGTGATTTCTGTTGACTTTATAGATAAAGTTGTGAGCTTCTGTGCTTTTAAAGACGATGTCAAATTTTTTCATCTAATTCTTTAAAGCTGTATCTCCTTTTTCATGGCAGGGATGTTGATTAATTTTATTGTAACCAATGTAATCACTGGTAGTCTTGTGTTGTTGTCGTTGTCAAATCCGTGCTTGAAATCTATGTACAAAAAAAGCGTTTGTATGATTCCGAGTCAAATCACGCGATATCTAGCGAGATGTTATGAGAGTGGCTTCAAAAATGGAAACCCAAGCGAACCAAAAATACTTTAGACGCAGCTTTTGTAGAAAAGCGGTAGATTTCTGAATTAAATCGGCAGGCGGGAGATGGAGTGAAAAAGCGGTAGACTCCCGCCTAAATCGGGAGAGTTAACATGTATGGCGCACGTGCTTGCAACAGCGCGCACGTGCAACACGTGAAATGACCGATATAATGGATATAGCCGTAACTTTTATATTTTTTGATGAAATCTTTTGAAATTTATAATGTAAGGATATATTAATAGCGTAGACAAGATGACATGATCAAAAAAGCAAGATCTCACGCGCATGCACGTGCGCTTCGCTCTGATTGGCTGAAACTAAAGTCTCTATATCTTTCTTGTTTTTCGACAAAATCCTATGAAATTTTGAACATTGCCATGCATTAGGATATCCTACAATATGATATATAGCAATTATCATGCAAACACGTGCATGCACGTGTGCTGCAATCTGATTGGCTTAAACTTTAAATAGCTATAACTCCCTTGGTTTTCAACCAAACAGGATGGAATTTGGAACATAGATAGATATAATGCACTTCTGCAAGACGGTATGATCACCATGCACATGCATACACGTGCGTATACGTGCGCTGTAATCTGATTGGCTGAAACTTTAAACAGCTATATTTCCCTTGGTTTTCAACCAAACGGGATGGCCGGGATTTAGAACATATATAGATGCAAAGGACTTCTACAAGAAGATATTGTCACCATGCTCATGTATGCACGTGCGTGCACATGAAATGAGATAAATCAAAAATACACTTGAATGAGCGTATTTTTCAATACTTTTGGATAAAATACTTTAATATTTAGTATATAAAAAATATTAAGATTGTGTAGACAAGATGACATGGTCATTACGCACATGCATTCACATGCGCACGCTTGCAATGCTAAAATTTGAATGAACTTGGCGTTGTTAAAGTCTCAAATTCATAGATTTTGTCCTATTTAATGAAGCTTACAGGGAATATGGCACCAAAAGGGACTTGGGGAGCGTTTGGGGAACATCTGTAACGGTCCCCGTTACAATTAGCACTAGTTCTATGGTATTTTTCTGCAGTTAGAGTGATCTGCCCTTAGATATTAATTCTAAAAAAAAAATATATTATATAATTATAAAAAATAGAACTGTATATTACTCAATTTGTAGTCAATTCAAGTATTTTTAACATTTTAAAAGGCCAAGATAAATTGATTGAACATGTTATTTACATGTATTTTCTCCAAAGAAGTAAATAACAGTGATTTCTGTTCACTGGTACTGTGTTGTGTTTAAGCATTTTTCCTGAGGGGTAAATGTCACTTACAATATATATAGAAAATTAATTAGATAA